TAAACTTTGACATATCGCATTTATGGAATTTTTTCACCTTCCATGATATGCATTCTGAATTCGAATTCATTCGTTATAAATATCAACTGAATGAGTTTCCGTCGTGTCTTTTAATACTCAATTTTTATAGATGGATTTTCTTAATCTGTTATTGAGGTTGATAGTATAGGAAAATAATTTTTAGTACTTCACCCTACTTATGTAGCTCGTCTGAAACAATGTTGAAGAACTGAAAATCTTATTTCTGAAATGTTTTCCGAATCCTAATTTTTATTTTTCGGTTTTGAAGAATTTCAAATTGGCTCCCTCTACAGATGTAAGGATATTATTTCTGTCCGGATACGGTATTCCCAGGTTTATGAATAGAGTTGTGCGCGTTTCGCACCGCCAATCGTCGGAATGACGTCGCGTGAATTCTGCAGGATTTTTCGTTTGGATCTGCGACTTTCTTATCTTTCTCAGCCTGCTGTGCGCCTTCATGCTGAATAAGTTGACGTGACTGTGCCTGAGAGCGAGTTTAAGATGCTCGGTTCCACCTCTGATGTTTCGGATTTCTGCATTCTGGATTCGCTGCAGATTTTCAAACGGAAATATTGTATTAATAACGCGTAGAATTATTTTCCTCTTGAAATTTTAAATCGATATTTTTTATGTTTCATTATCGTTCTCTCGTTGCGCTGCAGGTTTTAATCCTTCTCGTGTGGATCTTGATTTCTCTTTTGATTGTACTCATTTTCGATAAATTTTTTTTAACTGATGGTGGAGCTGGTATCTGGAGCGTTTTAAATTATAGTATGGTGAATTTACTAGAGGTTTTCTTTGCTTTGAAATGTTGATGTTAATTAATTATTTCATGCAACATGCTCAGTTTGGGTGATGCATAGTTTCTAAAGTTCTTGGCGTGCGTCATACCGGGCGAAATATCAAGCTAAGCGTCACGCTCTGATGGCCCAGCGTCCTCAGAACCGCATGACGACAGGTTCCGACTGCGTCAGCTGCCAATTATTGACTTTTGATGACGACATCATGACGACATCAAACCGGCATTTTAACGCAGCATGACATTGTGATGACGTCGGCATGACGGCACGAATAGGAGTTGACGGGCGTATGTGTTATAGTGTAAAAGGGTATTGTGTGTGGGCGAGGCTGTGAATGTATGGTTGCGAGGAACATGTATAACGTGCAGATGAGTCAGAGAAAGCTGAAACTTCCAGAAAATTATATTATGATGCTCGAAAAGTTCGAAGCGTGTCTTAGAATATCACCCCAGGTTGCACCGACAGCAATTACTTATTTCAAAATTTTGATAAGCACATGTAGTTGCTGAACGAGATGCCGTAGACGACACCGCGTGTGGAACCTTAACTCCAACGAGCTCTTGTAGGTATCAACCAAGCACCTCTCAAGATTCTAAAGAGTACGAAACAATCGCAGGCATGAAGGTCACACTAATTGTCATCGTGGAAGTCGCTGCTATCAAGTAGTAATTACCATAGTACGACCAACGCTTTGAGGTAGCAGTCTTGACAACTTAGAGAAGAAATTTTCCGTTCGATTAAGTCATCCATATTGAATGTCGTTGAATTGGCAGTTTTTATGTGTCAAGAGAATGGCAAGCACACCTGCTGCCTCGACCTTCGCTCTTACAAAAAGAGCGATGAAATATTCACCCAGGGATGACCTCGTGTCTTGCTCGTGGCTGTGACCACTACAGGTATACGCATATCCTCTGGTGAAGACATGGTAATTCTTATCAAATATATCCCGCTAACTCTCATAGAGGAGAGGAATTCTGAGACTGTATCGCTGCACGTGTTTTGGCAGTGTCTTGCTGTGATTTGAAAGGATCTCGTGATATTTTGAAAGTGTCTTACAATGTTCTCAAAGTATTTCGCTGTATTGTTAAAGCGTCTTGAGGTTTTGAATGTGTCTCGTTGTTTTGCAAGTATCTCGCAATGTTCTGAGAGTATTTCGTGATATTCTGAAAGTGTTTCGCTGTATTCTGAACGTGTCTCCCGGTTTTGAAAGTATCTCGCTGTATTATTAATTAATGAGTCTCGTCATGTTCTTGAAGTGTCTATAACAGCGAGATAAAGAGTAAGGAAGGCTCGAGTCATAATGCAGTATTAGAATTAATTTGAACTACTCCACTAAGTTAACTGAGATTACCTTAGTTTATTCATTACCAAGACGAAGGTGGTAATCTTCATTATTATTACTATCGTTCTGCATCATGATCAAATGAAATGAAATCCATGCTCTAAGAAATAGCATTGTGCGTCGTCCCCTGCGAATTGTAGGATCACTTCGTGACAAGATGTTTGCATTTTCCATTTGTATTGACAAGCGCCAAATTGTGCAATCTATTCTTGAATAATTTATTTGAGTCACTTGCCACGCGTCACTTTCTTAGCGTTCATAGTCGCACCAGCGCCAAAAGCTCGGGCCTTGATTGCTTCGCAATTGGTAATAATTACCTTAAAAAGCTCACAGTACAAAATAATTTAGTCAAGGTAGCCAATTTATGATAATCGTCTCCGCGCCATACCATATGATTAGCGTCAAGACTAGTGGTGGAACAAAGGGAATAAGTTCAAACGAACAAAAGCTACGCAACATGCCGTAGGGCGGAGGCTGCATGCGTGTACGCTAGTTATTTATTAATACGCTTTGTATTAATTTAATTTAATTATTTCACACTTCTGTGATTTTTATAAATATCCTCACTGTCCTTCTTTGTGTATAAAGTCTGTCTTACTTTGAAATTAGACTCGTGTGTTTATGAAGAAATAACAGATAAATAATATTATCCCATAAGTGACTTGCTGTTCCAACATTCATAAGAAATTTTAGATACTTAAGCCTCGTTAATTTTCATCATCCGCGTCAGTTCATCATCCGCAAGGTAAGTTAGTTCTTTGGTGAGAAGGCCATCGGAGAAGAGTGGCTCTGCCGTGCCTGGTGGCAAGTTCATTGTGCCGGACACATGGCTTCAAAGTAGTACCTGAAAATGTAACTTCTAAGTGCCAGAAACTGTGACTTTTAAGTGTCCGAAACTGTGACTTCTAAGTGTCAGAAACTGTGACTTCTAAGTGCCAGAAACTTTGACTTCTAAGTGCCAGAAACTGTGACTACTAAGTGCCAGAAACTGTGACTTCTAGGTGCCAGAAACTGTTACTTCTAAGTGCCGATTACTGTGTTTTTAGGGCTAGTGACAATAAGTTAAATTCATCCATGCATCTACTGTCTATAACTCCGTAGTTTGATGCTATCAGGAAAAAATATTGTTGGCCAAGGTTATTGCATGCGTAAAAAGGTCTTAATTGCGTTGAAATTCCTAATTGTTAACTATGATTTGCTCTGCAAACGTAAGAGGTCGAGCCTCCAATTGTCCTTGTCAAGCGACCTCTGAACCTCACTGCAGTGAATAATGTAATCCTTTGTAGTGAATAGAGTGAAGAATGTAGTTAGTAATACGAGATGGACGCAACTAATGTACCATGTACTCTACATTGTGCAGCACATGCTCCTCCCATTGTGCGTTAATTTGTGCCCAACTCTTATAGGTAACTAAGAAGTAAGAAGTACGTGCAGTCATATTTTAGGATTAGGCTCGTTAGCACCACTGACATTGCAGGAACTGCGTTTGCCAACTTGAACTAAAAGTTAGGTGTGAGCCCACAGCAACAGAATTGCAAAACCTTGGCCAAAAATTAAGCGGAGCGAAAAGAGCAACATAAGATGTACACGTGAACGAACCGTTTGACATTTATCATCAGTGGAAAGTTAGTGTTGCGGTCATTTAATTATTTATTTCTTGGTAAAAATAAACGATAAAAGCAAATGTGACGCCTTTCCTGCCGAAGCTAATTTCATGAATTCTTGAAAATATTGGAATCCATTGGAAGTGCGATCTTAGCCTTGAAAAAATATTGTGTCCGAAAATGAATATCCAGCGTTGATTTCTTCAGCAGATGGTAAACTTAGTTGATTCTTGGATTATTTGTTGCCCATGCTGCTGGATAATAAAGTTATTTTGATTTCCAGAGGTGAAATTATAGGTAAAAACGGATAATTTTCCGCTGTATTCGTATCTCGTTGCATTGCGGGACAATTATCAGTGATGGCAGCGACGGTGCATTGAACTTTCAATACTCCTAAGCCTCGACAGAATTATACACTTGTACCTCCTCAAGACAACACGGCGTTTATTTCCAAGCAATTAATGGTTATTCTTATAACTCGTACTTGAGTAAAGATGCTTTAAATCATGTAACACTATCCGTTTCGTTAGAATCTGTTCATCCTTGAATCTACTGAGAGTAACTCTGGAATTAAAATGCCATAAAAAGAAATATTGTTGGCCAAGGTTGTCGTATGCCTAGTAAAATGCCTTAATTGCGTTGAAATTCCACAACACTCGCTACTATCGGCACTTCAGAACGTACGTCACACGTATAGATCGGAATCTTGTGCGTCACGTGAAGCAGTTTGGACGAGTGTTGCCACTCATGCGCGCTTCGACAAAACCTTCGAACTTTTCAAAGGCTAAACATCGACGCGCTATATTGGCACCTCCCGGCATCCATGCGTGGGGCCAGACCTCCTGAAATATTCCTACCTCTCGTCGGTCGTTTGTGGGAGGCACCTACTCATCGATTGTGCCCAGAAGCTGCGCCTCAATAATGCTTGCTTCGGCCCGTATCGGTTCAGCGCACTTGACACATGGGTTCGTTATACTGATGAATCCATGTTGGCTTTCCTGTCGAGCAAGCGGCATTGTGTGGTAGTCCCTTGTCATGTATGGATTTCCTTAATGAAGCCTTCTTTGTTATAACTGACGTACGGGTTCGAAGCGTGGCTTGTTCATTTATTTGAATGATAGAAGCGACCTTCACTAGTACTTTTTATTGAATTATTCCCTCTGAAGGGCTTATTGTCGGGGACATATGACGTGCAATTATGTTGAAGTTCTAATGCCAGTATTGACTTTTCAGGCGATCACACTACAAGTTCGCCTGAACCTTCAGGCGGTCGCCCTGGCAGTCCACCTGAACCTCATAGCCCTGCTTCTTCAGTCTCTAGATTTCCAGCACCTGAAAATCGTGACATAACCGCCGCGGGTTTCGAAAATTCGACTCAAGAACTCAAGGTTCCCCGTTTGGTTGGCACATTATTTCAACGGAACGAAATCGAGTCGCCTGAAAATGAACTTATAGAAAAGGTTGAAGACGAGACCACGTCTCGCAGTAGTGACACTTGTGTGTACGTAAGCTCTGACGAAACTAAAACTCCGGAGCCAAGCTCACCATATACCAGTCACTTCACAACTTACAGGAGAGAATCTCCCAGTCTCAGTCATCTGAAAGATCGTTCCCTCCACCAAACCTCAGATACTTGTGATTCTCCTGCCATTTTCACAGCCGACACTCCTGTTTCCAATTGCCAGAACTTCTTCGAAGTTTCGAATCCTGGTTTCAAGGATCCATCATCGCCCTCGACAGAACCTACAACGATCATAGGTGACTCAGGCACGCCCCGGGTGTCTGCCCCCAGCAGCCTCCTGGTCAGAGGCAACTCGACTGGCCTCCTCAGGGCAGAGCCGGGGTCGCGGCGGGGCAGTCAGAGCCCCACGGCGGCCCTGACGGCTGCCCAGGGACAGGACCTGCTGATTCCACCTGCTGTTCATTCTCCTACGAGCCGCGAATCCCAGATCTCCGGTCGCCAGGACGTACAGGTAAATGTGCGGTTCTCTTTGATAAAACTTAGGAAATTACTCACTCGCTAACAACGTATGATTCTTCTACATTCAACTTGAGCTGTACATCCACTGATAAAACTGGAGCTGTCGGCCATATTTTCTCTAGGACACTGACCTTTTTATATATATACGTAGACACAAATATCATGTGATGCTGTAGGCAAGAGATCAACGCTGTTTGACGTTTTCAACGCTGATGACGTGGCTTTCCGGTCGTAGAACATGGTATTCAAACTGCCCTACTCTTCAGGATGGTCGAGCGCCCCTCCTGAAGGACGAGTCGCCTGAACGACACAGTCGCTCTCGCCATCGTACTTCGGCCAGCATGTGGGCCTCCAGCATACGAGGCGGGCGGGTGAGTGGTGGTGGGCGTGTGGGCCTCCAGCATACGAGGCGGGCGGGTGAGTGGTGGTGGGCGTGTGGGCACACAGAACAAGCAGTGGGCAGGTGGGCAAAGGGTGGGCCGCTGTCACCACCACAGTGGTTGCAGTTTTGCTAATCACCACCACTATCACACACTTACTGCTAACCACCACAACCAAATGTTGACGATGGTTGTGATGGAAACACGCTGGTAAGTGACCAGTGGGTGTGGTGGTGTTGTGATGCAGAAGTTCATGTTTCAGTGAGCTCAATACGAAGACAAGGGAATATGCTTAACATTCAATATAACTGATACTGACGCCGTGATGTTAACTGACGTACGTATTAGAGCGCCTGGTCTACTAGACCTGTCATATGAATGTACAATTAATTCAACGATGATATGAGGTCTGTAACGATGACGAGTGGTAGTGCATGACCTATTTGCTATACTATATTCTGAGCTCATGGAATGAGCTCTGAACTGAGCAATATACATTTGAATTTATATACGTGCGTACTTAAAACAGTTACAACGCAACGAGCGAGTAATATTTCTTCCCATTTGTCTTTAGAAGTGGAATGAATTTTTAAAATTATAAAGCCTTTAAGTATAATTAAAAAGCAAGGGTTTTCGAAGACCGAACACTTCTCCTGGAAAAAAACACATTTCTTGGAAATATGATATGTGTAAATAATTGTTTCATTTTTAGATAATGGATATGACACTTTAGGGCCTTTCGCACTTTTTTTCTACAAATATTACGGTACATATTCATGTTGTTTTTAACGTAACCTCAATAACTTTGACTGATCCTTCCTTCCCTCGTGCCTCTGGCAGGTGGTCACGGAGCGGGTTGGTGCTGCATGTATGCCATCGTAACTTTCTATACTTTATTTAGTCTATAATCAATTAATTACGATGCATAGTGAAGCATGAATTTTCTGTTCTGATAATAAATCCTGCAATCATCATTTATTTAATCTCCTAAACAAGGGCATCTTGTCAAGCTGTGGTAATTAGTTGGCATTATTGATGATGAATTGGCCGTTGCCCACAAGCTGTAATTTGCGTTCTGAATGGCTTTCTTTTGTCTCCGACGAATGGCCTTTTTGCGGCTGGTGAACGACCTTCTTTTGCCTCTGGCAAATGGCTTTCTTTTGTCTCTGACAAATGGCTTTCTTTTGTCTCAGACATATGGCCTTCTTTGGTCTCTGGCGAATGACCTTCTGTCTCTGGCAAATGGCTTTCTTTCGTCTCTGACTAATGCATGGCCTTCTTTTGACTGGCAAATGGCTTTCTTTTGTCTCTGACAAATAGCCTTCTTTTGTCTCTGGCGAATGGCCATCTTTTGTCTCTGATGAATGACATTCTTTTGTCTCTGGGGAATGTTTTTTTTTTGTCTCTGGCGAATGGCCTTCTTTTTCTATCGCTAATTGCTTACTTTCATCTCTGGCAAATGACCTTCTTCTGTCTCTGACGAATAGCCTTCTTTTGTCTCTGACGAAAGGCTGGTTGGTGGCAGGGTAAAGCAATAAGTCGCTTCAAAGGATCCGGCCTACGAAGCTTGTCCGCAATTTTTAGTTGCCGATCTCAGGGACTCGTATTCATGGAAGTAGGTCATGCAGGCAGCAGTATAGCACAGCCTTAGGCCTTACCTGCTGCTCAGCACCTCTGTTTTTATGCTCTGATGTTTGCTAACGAGTTTTTATTGATTAAATAAGAAAAGATGAGTTGTGAGCTAATGCTCTGGTGTTTATTCATTTGTTGAAGTACACAGCTCCCGGTTAATGGTCAGGAACCTGGCACGAATCCAAAATGAAAAGCACTTAAAGATGAAGAATTTCTACGGTGCTCGCAGTTTCTGGCTTCTCTGAATTGCAAAACACGTTAAGCGGCACAAAGTTAATTATATTTAAAATCTTAACTCGCTGAGCGCCGCAAACTTGGTACCATGCATACGGCTCGCCCGAGGCTGTACGATCAAAAATAGTTAAGAATTCTTGATTCGGTCAGCCAATTACAGACGGATTTCCAGGCTAAACCTACCAATCACAGATGAAAAAGCGGCTGCTATGTGTAAATAGGCCTCTACGTGTACATAGGTCGGAACGTGCACCTTGGTCGCTACTTGTACATATTGGCTGCTACGTGGCTATAGGCCGCTACGTGTACATAGAGTGCTACGGTATATATAATTGGGAGGCTACTTATAAAAGGGCCGCTACGGGTGCATAGGCCGCTATGTGTACTTAGGCCGCTACATGTGCTGAGGCCGCTACGTATGCTTATACGCCGCTAGCATACTTGAGCAAATTGCGTTAGTCCGGCCTCTGGTGCCACAATATTAGCCTCATTGCCACGCACCGATCCATTTTTGCGCGTCCCTCGCTTAAATGTGTATCGCCGTAGCGAAGACTGTTGTTGTATCACTGTGCTTATTACACGTCCGGTATAGCAGGTGTCCCCCATGGAGGTGAACAACCGGGAAACACCTGCGACGGATGAGTTTCACCCGCCTCTCACCGTGCCCTACGGGTCGGGGGGCGCGGGTGTGCGAGGTTACGTTCCCCACGACGGAGGCCCTGCACACAAAACCGTCGACGGCCACTTCAAGATTAAGAGGAGTTCCGACAAGCCTGCCGTGAGTCCCTGGGCCGCCGTGAATGTGTTCCTGTGAAGAAAAGATGGGCTTTTTGCCCATTTTTGCTGCACAGGTGACTGTCTGTGCCATAACTGTCTCTGTGTCATATCCTACATACGTGTCATGGATACTTGCCATCCTTACCTCGACCACTCGCCCTCCACCACCCTCACTCTTACTACCCTCACACCAACTACCCTCACCTCACCTCCCGCATCCCCACTACCCTCACCCCCACTACCCTCACCCGCAGGTCCGTAAGCCGGTCGAGACGCTGTACTTCAGGGACGGGGTGCGTGCGATCGACTACGTGCTCGTGTACCGCGACGGGCAGGACGCAGAGACGCGCCGCTGCAGGAAGCTCTACGAGCAGCGCATTGTGGAGGAGGGTCTAGAGCTCGAGAAGGAGGACAAGTCGGTGGGTGGAGGAGGACAGGTTGTGAGTGGTGGACGGGTGGTGAGAGGACAAATCGGTGAGTGGATGACAGGTTGTGAGTGGAGGACAAGTCGGTGGGTGGAGGACAGGTGGTGAGTGGAGGACAAGTCGGTGGGTGGAGGACAGGTAGTGGGTGGAGGACGGGTGGTGAGTGGACGGGTGGTGAGTGGAGGACAAGTCGGTGGGTGGAGGACAAGGACAGGTGGTGAGTGGAGGAGGACAAGTCGGTGGGTGGAAGGCAGATTTGTCCGTTGAGTTTAGTCAGTTCGTAGCACAAAACTCGCCCCATTAATGCCTTTGTACCAGGGTGGGGCAGAACCGATTAAGCAGTTTAGAGCACTCAGTGCTCGCAGGGAAGGAAGGGGATGGGTTTGCGGGTGGTTTTTACCAGCCCCTCCGGTATTCCCATTTCAGTAGCAACATGGCGTGGTCAGGAGAACATCGTGGCTTTGCTGTGCGCGCATATTTCGAGAACAATCAATCCGTGATTGCAACACAAAGTGCTTTCCAGCGGCGGTTCAATATTCCACGCAATGATACTCTTCCTCAGGCGAACACAATTCGGTCCTGGGTTAGGCAGTTGGAGGACACTGGTAGCACACTAAGAAGAGATACACACGACCGACGCAGGTCCATCAGAACACCAGAAAATGTCGGGAGGGTGAGAGCAGCAGTCATCCACTCGCCAAGACGTTCTGCACGAAGGCATGCCGTTGCTATGGAAATCTCCTCACGTAGTTTGAATAGTATTCTGCATCGGGATTTGCATTTCCATCCCTCAAAATGATGATAGCCCAACAATTGAACGAAGCAGACATTGCCAGCTGCGGAAATCTGTCTGAGAAAATGCTGGAACAGATTGCTTCCGACGCAGCGTTCTTCAGCAGTGATGAGGCGCATTTTCACCTCTGGGACTGTAAATAAACAAAATTTTCGTTACTGGGCTGAAGATAACACACAAATTATCCATCAAAGACCACTAAATTCTCCCAAACTAACGGTCTGGTGTGCCATCTCCCAATTTGGTGTGATAGGCCCATATTTCTTTGAGGAGGATGGAGTAACCGTGACAATGAATTCCGAACGCTATGCTGCAATGTTGCAAAATTTCTTGCAGCCCAGGATGGAAAACATTGTTAAAAATGAAGTATTGGGAAACGTGTATTTCTATATAGCAGGATGGGGCTACAGCTCACACAGCCCGAATGTCACTCAATGTTTTGAAACGCATGTTTCCCGGACGTCTGGTGTCTCTGGGGTGATTTACAGTGGCCTGTGAGGTCACCTGATTTGAGCATTTGCGATTTTTTTCTTTGGGGACATCTAAAAGAGAGGGTGTTCAGAAGTCGCCCTCACACCCTACCACAGCTAAGGGAACAGATTATTGCAGAGGTTATGGCCATACCTCGCCATATGTGTGAACGTGCTGTAGGAAACTTCCGAGAACGACTCCAACAGTGTGTTGCAGCTAACGGCCACCAGGTTCCTGATATTATTTTCAAAACATAAGTATTCTAAATGGTATGTTGTGCTAACCTCGAGGAAAATAAACTTTCTTCTTTATGTACCTCCATTATTCTTTTATTTCACCTCAAACTGCTCAAACGTTCTGCCCCACCCTGTACTTAACTAGCTACCTTTTAACAACACTGGTCAAAATACATTTATTTTGCTCAAGTAGCACAGTATATTTCAGATTGATTTAAATGTTGGTAGGACATTATTATAAATTTTGTCAGCTAGTCTTAAAATTTTTAATCAGATTGCGGCGACTCAAGTGACATTGGCGGTGGCCAGTGCATAGTTCTCGTCAGTGTAGTAATGGACGAGCCTCTGATCCATGGCTTGTTCCATGCTGATATACCCGCAACTTTTCCTCACATTACTGACATTATCGAACTTTTTATCGATTATACAGCGGCTCAAGAAATTATTTGGCTTTGGTTTACCTTCTTAGTCTTTATTTTCGTGTTTCGCTGTCCATACGGACAATTTCACTGCCTCGTTATCTCTGGTGGAAGTAGTTGACTACTTTCAACACGAAAAGTAAGAAAGTTTACGTGAAAGTAGTTGATTACTTTCTGTATAAAAGTGAAAAATTTCATGTGAAAGTAGTTGACTACTTTCGGCAGTAGCACGAGAGATAGCATTGAGTTGAATTGTGCTTAATTAAGATGTCACATCTTCAAACTTGACCTATAATCTCGCGAGCCTGTCGTTCCACGGTGTCGTCAAATGTCAGACGCGTGACCTCCTTTCATCTGCTTTATAAGGTCATCGTTGACCTCACACACGTAACATTCTACGTGACCTCTCATATCTAAAATTCTGCGTGACCTCACATGCATAACAGTCTACTTGACCTCACACACGTAACACGCAACGTGACCTCACATACGTAACAGTTTACGTGATCTCACATACCTGACATTATCCATGACCCTTATGACCTGAGATTATCCATTATCCATGACCGCGACCTCACCTAATGTATCACGTGACCTCACTTGCCTAAGGGTTACGGCATGTGGGTGGTGGGTTACGGCATGTGGGTGGTGGGTTACGGCATGTGGGTGGTGGGTTACGGCTGTGTATGACACCCTGGGTGTGATCTTTTTACCCTTCCGTCTGATCCCCTCGTTGGTTACACTTCTGGTCCCTCTAATTGGTCCCCTCTTATTCCCTCACATATATTCCCTCATGTTTAAACTCTTTTTTTTTCTAATTAACTCTAAACGTGACTTGTCTCTTCTAATTGCTAGCTTAACCTCTGCCTGTAATTGTACCCTCATGCTGGTTAGTAACTCTGAGTGTCTTTTTATACCTCGACTGTCAGTTATGATGAACCTACCGCATTTTATTATACAGCGAGCCTCACTAAAGGACGCATGGCGCTTGAATTTACTCTCTCTTCTGTAAACTACCGTATTATAAATAAAGTGTTAATGCCATGCTCGTTGAATAAAGTGTTGCTGAGATGCTCCTTGAATGAAGTGTTGCTGCGATGCTCCTTGAATGAAGTGTTACTGCGATGCTCCTTTAGTGTGTGGTTCCGACGCGGCTGTGAAACTTGATCGCAAAAATTATTTTTGAGGGCTGTAGTGGTTAGGGTTGTTGTGTTGAGGGTTGTTGTGTTGAGAGTGGCTGTGGTGAGAGCTGTGGCATTGAGAGCTGCTTGGTCTCAATTATTTTTTAGCAAGCATTTGCAGAGCTTATGGTATGGACTTCCTAAATCTAAGAATTCTGGTTTTAGTTGTCAAGGTAGGCCACTCGATCTGTACATCTCTCCTTGTAAACTAAATACCACAATGCAATCTCATCACCAATGATTGTACAGATATTGTGTTGCACATAGACGCAAACTCCACCAAGAGCGTCCATTGACTTATTTTCAATAGCCAAGTTTGTGCAGTTACTGTAAGTGTACATACTACTTACTGTTACTGTACACGTGTACTGCAACAGCCCGGCTTGTACAGTGTCTCCTCTTTTCTTACACGCCATGCTGCACAGAGGCTGCACACTCTTAGTGTACAGTCACAGTCTTGGTAAATTCTATTGTAAATAGCTAATAGGCTCTGCGAATATTTCATGTAAATAATTCTTTTCGAGTTACGAAACTTCCAATTTGTTCCATTATCATGTCACGCCGACTGACCAGCTCTTTAACAATGTAACTTGAAATGTTATATCTCCTCTTTATCCCATTGGCGCATTTTCGGTGGTCGTAATTGACAAACGATCATTCTGGGTTTATGCAGCTCTGGTTTCTACTGGGCTTGAGCTTGTTTGAATAAAAATTATTTGAGGTAATCGTAGGAGATGAATCCCGAGTAAAAAGCTTTACCTTTAATCTAACTCAACTTACGAACGGGTAGGTTTACAGGGAGACGAATTGTCGTCTCGAGTAACCAAACCGGAAGAGCCCAATTGGGTTACGAATTCATGAGTTGCATGAAAATCTAGTAAGACGGATGGGCTCCACTTCATGCTCCTGGTAACCAACCCTAGCTAAAGTCGGTTACGGCTAGGCATCTGCCCAAGAGACGCTACACAAGGCTTAGACTTGTTATTTAGAGTCCGCTTGGCCACCCTTTCGAAATCAGATTCTTGTCAGAATCTTAGATCCGACTTTGGGTTACGGCAGGTCGAGGGGTACACACAGTACAACCTGCAACTCGCACTACGTACCTGTACACGCAGTTGTGGTAAAGAGCTTACAAACGTAAGCTCTTTAGATTATGATAAGAGTACATGAAGCCGATTCTGCTCCCCGAGTCCTAGGCGGCACCTGTTGCAGAGCCGGACTCGCACACAAATTTTATGACGGAAAGTGGGAAGGGAGGTAGGGGGCAGACCCCATGTCTCACCTCCAGTAACCAAACTACCAGGGTATACAGATAACCACTTTAAGTTGGATTGAAGTTCACGTGTTCTGCTGGGCTCCATCCCCCTCAGGTTTCCTTTATTTTAGAACAGCCGAATAATCAATGTGAAATGAAGCATTTACCTAACAACCGAGCATTAGTTCATTGGTTACCAAGGTATTGCTGAAGTTGCCGCAATTGTAAAGTCTTATGCCCACAGGGATATGTGGTGATCAGAGGAGGTCATGTGTGGGTGAGTGCTGCTAAAAGGAACCGGTCCTCATGTTGTTGGTGTCACCTTCCTTCCTCTTTAGTTCGTTACTCGACAGTTTGCAGATAATATCTCTCTGCTGTTGGTGTCAATTGCCTTATTAGTTGATTCGTTATCCATAAAGTCCTTATTTTGCAGTAGGCGACATCTTCTCGCAATTTCAGTTCGTTATCAAGGTAGACTTAATGTTGCTGTTGGTGTTATCTTTCCGCTTCTTTTGTTCCTTATCCAGACTGTCCTTATTTTGTCGTTGGTGTTACTTCGTTACACTGTTTTTACTATCGCTGTTTACTAACTTGTTTTTCTCTTCTTACTATAGTGTTCCCTTAGTATTTAAAGTCTTCCCTTCGCCAGTGTTCACGCTCAGTACGTCTTTCGCTGCGCAAAACCTGTGTGTTTATAGCTGGTATTAACTATAATGTAAAAGACTATCTATACTCGTATACGGTAGGTACCCTTCCTATACAAAGATTTTATATGCTCTTGATGTTAGTTTTTTTGTGGTTAATTTCTCCGATATGGATTTGTTGCTGGCATTGTAATCAAACGTAGGCATTCTGAAAGTTGCACATATAAGCGTACTACACGAAGTTGTTGTAATTCTCTTAGCATTTGTCAGTATGGTAAGGTAGCCATGTCTGTTTAATTATGCCTTCCTTAATATTGGATGTTGGATACTGTTGTAGTGATATACCGAGGGTTTCTACTCGTCAAGCACGTGTGTGTGTTACTCAGGTTACGTCGTAAATGGTATCCCGGTGTAATATTGCTGGAGCTTGAACTGTATCTACAAAGTCTACGGATTTTACTCCCAGTATTGAATTACCTCGTGCTATGTTATGAAGCAAACTTTACTCCCTTATCAACGAGTAACTTGACCGGTGTCAGCGCTACTTCCAACTACAGGCCTGAGAGTTGCCGTTTGTAAACAAAGTGTTAACGTCTCGATGTTCTATGAACCAGACGTTTGTTAACGCTTGACGTTCTAGGTTTCAACGTATTCGTCGGCTCTTCGAAGCCCATGCACTATTTAATCAATTATTTTTTAACACAAGCTTGAAGTATTAGGGTAATTTCACTGAAAATTTGTTTGCAAGTAATTTTCTTATTACGATAAGTGTTGGAAGTTTGTTGCGTGTGTTTGTATTGGACCTGTATTTTAGTTGTTAAAATACGAATATTTATCTTATTTTCCACAATTTATATCCCTTATAAGTTTTGCAAAATGGACATGACCACGTGCAGCCCCACCAAGATTGGGAAGGGTGAAAAGTATACAAACATATATAAATTAATGAGCACCCTTGTGGCTTTTTTAAAACGGGGTCCGAAAAATAATTTTGTGGTCTTTGGCCGGTCTTGATGCTGCTCCAAGTTTCGAAAGAGGGGTGTACGTTCTGGAGCGAGAATAAAATTCCTTCATCCGCAGCACTAGTTCATGCGAGTTATTCGCTTATTAGCATAATTATTAAGGTGCTGCAATGACTGTCATGCATAATATTAATGTTCTCGTACTGAATGAAACAAGAAATGAGGAAGAAGTCTGGCTCACAGAGCGTAGTCGGTTGATTTTGATATTTTCTTAATCTGCAAATGACAAGCGATGCGATGCTATTGTGCACATACTATAGTGAGATTTCACGCATTTGAAATAGTGAGATGTATCACATCACGCACGATTTGCGGCTTTACGAGCATACACAAGGGTTTCCTGCATAACATGCATCATCGCACGCAAGACGTGCATTATCCGTTGCTAGGAACATACCTTACTAAAAATTTTCAATGCTATTATCATATTATTGAAAATTGTTTTCTATATAATGAGACTGCATCTTTTAAGTTTTTGCTCACATCATCACTGTTCACCACACACGTGATTTCGTTCACCACACTAGCATACATTAGCTAAACAGATGAGTAGAAGATAAACGACGAAACGAGCCTATCGATAAAACAGCAAATGTATAGCTGAAATAAGTGCTAAAAATCTTGAAAAAAATATCTGAAACAGTTGCCTAGGAGCTATAAACGTAAGCTGAAGAGCCGAAGTGCAGGCATAAAGAACTAGTGAAAAAAATCTGGTAGATTTGATTAAATAAAGAACAAACTATTTGCTAATTCTAATTAAAAATGTTACATTGACTGAACAACTACAGCCATCCTTTGACAGAAGATTAACTTCAGCTGAAGAGCAAACCATTTATTGTAAAAAAGTTGAAATGAAAAACTTCAGATTGATGGCATACTAAATAACTGCTGTGCCACTGCTCAAACAAAACCTCCAATTGCTATCACAGTAATCAATTCAGCTGAGAAAACAAACCAGAAAAATGCAGATAAATCAGGAGCAAAAATTGTCAAAATGACATAGATGATAGTCTGAAGCTCTGTTAAAGCAGAACCCTCATAAGTTGTCGTAACAACTGCTAAGAGAAATGCAAAGCAATAGCAAAAATGACAAGAACCAAAGCTAAGGAACACTTCTATAAATAGAAGCTCCACAGTGTCAGCCCCCAGAGGGCGCGGGTGTGTCTCGTGCGGCGTGCCAGTGAGCAGACACTCAACAGCGACGTGCTATGAAGCCTGCCGGACTCATCGAGCTGCGACGTATTAATAACGTAGCGGCAGCTGGACTGTAGCGAGCTTATGAATAACCCAAGCATGGTCTAGTTACCATTCTTGACCCAAATCGTGGGGCCTCTTTGTGAGGCACTGAGATCACTATGACATATGATCTTAACCTACCCATTTTGATGTTAACCCTTAACCTACCCATTTTCTTGTTAACCCTCAACCTACCCATTTTCTTAACCTACCCCTACCCTCAATTTTCAATCTACTTCGCAGATTCAACCGATATAGATTCAAGCCGATAAGAGTCGAATTATTATTTTCTTTAATTTCTGCTTTTACGAAAAATTTGGGCAAAATACCACAGGAATAATACATGCCAAGGATAATTTCAACCAATACCGAGTCATTTGAACAAAAAAAGAAGTGTTCAGATTTGCACCTGGCTATCAAATTACACGAGCACCTGATGCCAAATAGTGTCATTACAAATAACCTCATTCAAAGACCTAACCGCATAATATCCGCCTCATTCTCGATTCTGTGCTGAAAGGTACGCTGCACAACCTGGCGTTTTGGCGCAAAGAATAAAGTGTCATCCTCTTACACATGCTTGCCAATGCCACAATATTTCTTAACTGTTCAGCCTATCTGTTCTCACTCATCGTTAGATGAGTGAGAACAAATGAGTGTTTTTACTCATCTGTTTTCTCATACAGATGAGTTCTCACTCATCTGTTATCTCATAACTGTTCAAATTTTCACTCATCCCTTGACTCATCCCCGTTAAAAGGTGTACAATAGGTAAGTTGAAACTATATATGGTTTAGTTACACGAGTTATTCCGATTGGCCTCTGATGTTCGTAATATGCACACATGTTGTTATCTAGACATCATTTTTTAGCTCAATGTAAATTTTACTTCAAGAAAGCTGAAGCACAATCATGTCATTAAATTATTCGTAATCATATTTTACGTCAAATTTCTAATCTTTCGCAGGCTCCTAGTCGAGCACTCGTTTTGCCGTGTGAACGGTATATGTGAACTGAGGTATATGTATGTTCACATATACATACGGTATACGTGAACTGAGGATGTCAAACTCGCGAGAGTTGGACTTCATTATTACTTATCATCAACGTTTGATTGTTGTGTCCACGCCTGTTGACTACTTGAATCCTTGAACCAGCTGGAATTTGAAACAAGGCTTGAAACGTGCTTCCACCAATCGACGATTTATGAAACTTCCAAAAAGGATCTATTAGCTGTCTTTGGATCCGTCAAAAATTCGTCTTTAAAATAAGTACTTAATTCTAGAGGGAAACGAGTTCTCTTGGTCTTTAATTAAACTTGCGCAGAATTTTGTAATGAATTTCAATAGCACATTTAATGGGACACGCACTCTGTCGCGCCGATGCAGTCCCCATATTCCTTACCACGCCAGCCAATTTCTGAGGTGAAAATTCTTGTGAAACGTGTCACTCTTTTTCTGCACAGGCAATGCACATCAGTATAGCTTTCTTATTGTTTAAATGTGGCAAACATGTTCACTTGTTGTTTATGTTGTACATTAAAATAAACATTTTTTCTTAACATTACGTTCTAAGTGTAATACTGAGGCTATTTACTACCCACGACGACCTTGACTTCATCCAGTGAAATCCATGCTGCAAGACATAAAAAATTCAAGAGTCTTTGTGAAAAAGGAAATCATGTGGCATTCAATAATTTTTTTTACTCAGATGAAAAGTTTCCTAATGCATAAGAATTATATTCTCAAATCTAAAACTAGAAATTAATTTGAAAAGCACAAAGGCGTTCCCAGTAGACATCAATGACGCGAGTATAGAGGTGATGTAGACGTATGAGGACCAGTGGAAGTAGTGTCAGGCTTGGGTTCCTGAATAAGATTAGTTTTCTTCGCTTCGCGTTTAGCGAAAAGTGAAACAAACTATCGAATATTGTATCAGATTATGGGTGCAACATACACCGCACTTTGCTTTGTGCGCGACATCAACACCGCATTGTTGAGGGTACAGCATAGACATCGCCTGAGTGGTAGGAAAAAAGCCTGATACGATTGTGAGTGAGATAAAAAAACCTTGCTGAGTTATTAGGATATCATAACGACGCAATTAGTGGAAACGAAGAAGGTATTTGTGCTATCACAATTCATTGACGGTGATTGGGTAATAGTTTTTTTTTTGTTTTCTTCAAACACAATTTTGAAACATTTAAACAAATTTGTCTAGGGTCAAAATTAAATTCCAACCTTGTATTACTGCATCCTGAATCTGTTGTTAGACATTTCTAAATAACTTTAGCCAGCAGTTTATTGAGAATTATTCGGCTGTTTATGAAAACTTATTCGGTGGTTTATTAAGAAGGTAGTCTGTTCAGTTGACTAGCTCCTAGCTCTGTCAATTTGACCTGCCTTCAACACATCCGTAATCCGCGCTCCAATGCCAACTGTCATAGTCAGTTGGAATTCCACATACACGCAGTCAAACAGAGATGTACATCTCGCAAGCAGTTAGATCTGTTTTGCATGGGAATTACAACACGAAAAATTACAATGGATAGGGATTGGGGTAAGTCTCCTAGGCCCCATGACTCAACAAGTGAAGAAGACACGCGCACCACGCACAGCTATATATGGTCTCTTTTTCAATATATTTTGTTAATGTGTTTACGTGGTCACATGGCTCATTATAGGTCATATACACGGAGTTAATGCGTCCTTTGTGTTGCAGGAAGACAATGACAATCCTAAGAAACCAGACTTCTTCTCAAGGCTGGGCATGAAGAATCCCTTCATGTACAACGAGAAGCTCATACCACCTGATCCCAATTTCTTCACCACGAACTACTCGGCGGAAAAAACTGAGCTGTGAGTCGTACCTTTAATAATATTATTTCCCTGCATGGGCTTCATGGTGGAGAAAATTGAGATGTAATTAAGATTTTCCTTCGTTATCTTACTCTCCTGCTATTCCTCTGATCACTTGTGTTCCCAGCCATTTAAACGAGCGAGACCAATATGAAGTAGATATGAAGTAAGCGTAGTTTGATCATCAGTTGACGCAACCTTGCGGCATGAATGATTTCGTGTTTTTTTAAGTAAGCACGTGAACAATGATTATTTTTAAGTTTTTTGTTGCCAGTTGTACTTGTGTTCAGTATCCTACCGTGGACCAAGCCGTACTAACACACTGTACTCAGTCCGACTTGCTTCCTTTACCGAGACGTAGTTGACATCTGTACCAAACCGTTCTAATTCTATGTACTCAGTCGTAATTACCATCTGTATACAACCATATTTATCCTTTGAACCAATTCATTCTCGCCCTCTGTACTCAGTCACACGTATCTTGTGTATGCATCCGTATTTATCGGCTGTACAAAGCCGTACCAACCCTTCCTCTGAACTTACCCCCCCCCCCCAANCAAACCCGTTTCGTATGAATTAGTTGTGGTGTATTCATGCTTGAAACTGTTAGAAAACCGTCTCTCATGAACTGCTTCCTTCTGTCGTAAAAATTGGGGCCTGTTACCCGCTTATACTTGCCGAAGAAAATTCGTTGAGAATTTCTGTTAAGTAAATAGCACACGATGTTTCTGACACTTATTGCCCATTAGCTTGTCTCCGTTCCGTTGTCTGCTAAACTTTCCCATCGATAACAGCATGGATTTAGCTTTTAGCTTCCATCCGCGTGATCAGTAATCCGTGCCGAAACTACGGCCGGGTTCTTGACATTCTATTTCGATTAATTTTCTGGTTTTGAACAGGCTGCGCTAAACGGAACCTCTTTTCCTTTTTATTTTTTTAACTCCCTGGTAGGCAAATATCAGGTACCCAGCTCACTATTCACATTGAAATAATTATATGGAATTGAAGCATTTTCCAAGATTAAATTTTTTAGAATTAGTGGTGTTCTGAACCTCTCATACTTTTTAAATAACATGCACGAGGATATTAAGACTCCAAACGAATAATTTCCAAAAAAATCCGCATTATTTTAGACATGATCACTGTGCTAATCAGCTCCATAGTATTTATTGAAATTTGGGTCGGGGAAGGTATCTCAGTTTCGCTGCACGATATAAGCTCATCGATGACTTAAAACATGTTTTTTGTCACTGTCAACGGTTACTAGTTAGTAACAATGTTGCGTCGATGATGGCTGTCAGTCTCGTTGTCTTATGAAATTCTCGGTACTGTTCAATACTCTCCTATTGACTGCATAAAGTTAATGTCGTCCATCTGATATTGTTGAACCTAAGATGGCTGCGAAGCTGTTGCTCGGCCATTGCCGGGTGTGGGCAGAGGTTATGTGGTGACACAAATGAAACTTCAACGAGCGAGCTGCCGCACGGCTCCTCTCCTCTAGCGTCCTCCGTCTTAAATGAAGACCGGTAATTCGATACGTCATTACCATTCCATCGTCGTCACGGCTGCTGCGCATGCGCAAATTTCTCATATGTGTTTCACTCTGTTCGTTGCAAGATGTTTCTGCGTGTAAAACTATCGCCAGGTTTCAATCACTTATAAATTCGGTAAAATACGTAAATCGAAGTCACAGCACGAAGAGCCATAGATCGGAAAAGATCATTCAAATTTACAAGAGATTAAGAAAACGTCAAATAAATTACCCTTTGAAACTTGTGGCTTCATCTCATTGAGAAATTAACGTTCATTGGCGTTTATTCGCTCGCATATAGTCAAGTTATTCATAATTTTTTTAGCATCTTATGATTGGATTAGAGTCGTTTGGTGTTAACGCGGCCCTAATTTTGAACAATGTAGCAGTCATAAAATCACTCAAAAACTTAACGGTAACATTCTTGAAACCACTTAAAAACCTATCATCTGAAAACCTATCATAATTGGCCTATTATAATCTTTGAGTGCTCCTGTCGCCTGTTGGCCACTGAAACTTAACTGCCTTTCTTCGTCCAGTGATGACGAACATGGACAGGCTCGGCTGGTGCTCTGTTGCGGGCGACATCGAAGTTATTAATCGTAAACCGGGCGAAGTTTTCACGCGCAGAAGTATTTTGTTGAATCGAACTGAGTTTAAATTACACAGCGTCACACGCACATGCTTCTTTTAAATTCCGGCAATTATTCATCTATTGGATATCTGAGCTGTACCAGCGGCAGGTAAATCTTGAAAGCTTCAAGATTTTAGAATGCCTGTGTTTCCTCCAGTCCTCATAACTTTTTTAGGGGATATTCATGTCGATGAATTATGTTTATACCCATTAAAGGAGCATATTTACGTTAATACGTACTAAAAATTCATGCATGATGAACTCGAAGAAAAAAATGGATGAGCACGACAAAGTTGAACTGGTCTAAAACCAAAAGCATTCAACTGAGTATTCTTATTAGGCTTCAATTCTACGACTTTTTTAGTGCCATCGTCCACCCATCCGAAGAACAATTAAAAGTTAAATTTCCAGGAGAATTCAGGAATTTTTTTGACGCTCTTATAATCGAGTGGGTCATTGTCCGAAGAAGCGATCAATTTTTTTTTTCCATTTGCCTCGCAAATTGTGTACGGAAAGGCAAATTAGTTTAAAAAGTCTATCGTGTTTTGGGCAACGAGTCACTTAATTTTCATAAGTGTAAAGCGTCAATTTTTTGAATAGGTAAGTGAAACCTCCGCTGGTCGGGCTAAGAACTTGGTGTCGATCTCATCTAAACAGGCCGCATTGGCACGCTAAGGGCAACCGCACTGGCTTAGCAGGTCATCTGATCACGCTAAGGACAACTGCACTGGCTTGATAGGTCATCTGATCACGCTAAGGACAACTGCACTGGCTTGATAGGTCATCTGATCACGCTAAGGACAACTGCACTGGCTTAGCAGGTCATCTGATCGCGCTAAGGAAAACTGCACTGGCTTAGCAGGTCATCTGATCACGCTAAGGGCAACCGCACTGGCTTAACAGGTCATCTGATCATGCTAAGGGCAACCGCACTGGCTTAACAGGTTATCTAGTTACGATAAAAACAACTGCCCTCGCTCTGCAAGTCAACGTGTCGCGTTATGAGAAGTCACACTTAATAAGCCGGTTTTCTGCGGTCTCTAATAATCACATTAATTAAGTGGGTATTCAAGCTTTGTAGTATTCAAGCTTTGATTAGCTGCCACACTTGCACCACCCTCAGCTCACCGCCCGTATTTCCATACGTGGGATACGGCAATAGAAAAACGTACATCAGGTGTTGCCCTGGAAACCAACGCCCTGGAAGCTTATCACACATTCGGTTCATCAGACCCTCGGTTCATCAGACCCTCGGTTCATCAGACCCTCGGTTCATCAGACTTTCGGTTCATCAAACCCTCGATTGTTTAGACCCACGGTTCATCGGGCCCTCACTCCTTTAGACCCACATTTCAGTAGACCCTCGGTTCATCAGATCCTCGGTTCATCAGACCCTCGATTCATCAGACCCTCGGTTCAGCAGACCCTCGCTCCTTGTGTCGTGTGCTGTCGGCATGCACGACACTAGGGTCTGCGTGCGCTTGTATCATACAATAGCATCTATCGCGCGCACAGTTCCTACGCCTGGTGCTAGCCCCGCATGGGGCAAATTATTTATAGATCCCGCGCGGCGCTAGTTAATTTCATTTCTTTCTCGGTGCTAGTTATTCCTAGTCCCTGCACAGTGTTAGTTATTCCTAGTCCCTGCACAGTGCTAGTTATTCCTAGTCCCTGCACGATGCTAGTTATTTCTCGTTCCTGCACGATGTTAGCTATTCCTAGTTCCTGCACAGTGCTAGTTCTGTCTCTTATACACATCTAGATGTGTATAAGAGACAGATGACATACCTCTCCCGTCTCCTCTGCAGTGAGTACAAACTCAGTCGCTGTAACCTCCCCCAGTAGTTAAAATTCTCCATCTCTCTGATCCTGGAAGTAAAGGTTCGTTGGACTCCTTCCAGTTGCCGTATTGCGCCTAGTGTGAACGGAGTCCAGAGCTGGCAGCAGTATTCAAGGATAGGTATTACAAGGGCTCTGAAGAGTGTGATCATCGGTTCCGCTTCTCTCGTTCTGAACGTCCGCCAGATCCACCCCATCTGTCGTCTACCTTTTGCGGTTATTGCCTGTATGTGATCACCAAAATTGACCTGATTGTTCATCAACACTCCTAGATCGCGAACGAGTCGCTTCTCTTCGATCTCCGAGTTGTCAGATGCCAGGTAGCGGTGATCTATTCCAGCTCTTCCGGTTCCTCTGTACCTCAGAACCTCAAACTTGGTCCCGTTGAACTGCATGTTGTTCACTAAGGCCCAGTCAAATATTGCAGAGAGGTCTTCTTGCAACCTCTCACTGACGCCTGATTGACAGTGGGCACCACCATTCATTGTAGAAAAGGCCAACCATACATTGTAAATCAGATAAACTATGCATTGTAAACCCGATAAACCATACATTGTAAACCCGATAAACCATACATTGTAAACCCGATAAACCATACATTGTAGAGACAGTTAACACGCGCACCGTGCCGTGCAGAGTACAGCATCAGCAGGCTGTTGTCACACGACATCTACCGTGCTGCCTTCATGCTTCACGACGGTCACTACGAGAAAGACGGTCCCGGCCACAAGATGTGCGATCGCAGAGTGAGCTTTTTAATTTTAATATTAATATTAATATAATGCCATTAATTGTGTGTTTACATTGATCCATACCCCAAACATCACCGCTATGGCATCATTTGACAATTTTGGCGGAGATATTTATTCTGCTACCAAACTAAGATATCAGCTAGGTTATTACTATTAATAATTTTAGTATGATATTACATGCTATTTACAGTAGCAAGCTGGCCGCTATACAGTGTATGGTTCTGTAAAGTTATTTAAAGGGCTTAAGGTCGACAGAACTTAAAACCATCGCAAGAACTCTTGAACATGTAAGAAATTCGTTCTTCACTGTTTTCATTCATCAATAAGTATCATGTCATGCACAATGCACGTATTAACACATTTTATTGATAGAAATTCTCCGTCACCACAATGTGTATGGGTTGAACTTGATCGAAGCATCAACTTCGTGAACTGTGTGTTCTGTACATTATGTTTTTAATCTTTGAATATTATTTCATCATAAACTTCATCACTGGATCACCACCTCACTATCTCGTCATCTCCAGTGACACCATTGCTCACTATAATCGATATAGCATCCATATGCCCCGTAATATCATCGCTGTGTTTTCATTTTAACAATTTACGCGGTAATATTTATTCTGCAACCTAACTAAAATCTCAACTATGATATAACTATGGTCCTCGATTTTGCCAAAGCATTTGACAGTGTTCCGCATGAGCGGCTGTTGCGTAAAGTGAAGTCTTTGGGAATTGAGGGAAACGTACTCCAATGGATCAGAGATTTTCCAGTTGGTAGACGACAACGTGTCAGTATTAACGGAACCGTTTCAGACTGGGCATCAGTGCGCAGTGGCGTGCCACAAGGAAGCGTCCTGGGGCCTATTTTGTTCGTTGCTTTTATAGATGATCTGCCAGAAGTAGTGTCCAGCGTGTGCTCCATGTATGCCGACGACACAAAAATTTATAATTCAGTGAAGGATACGTCAAATAAAGCGCAATTGCAAGATGATCTTGACAGTTTAGTTAACTGGGCTGATACGTGGCAGCTGCGGTTTATGCTGACAAGTGTAAAGTACTTCACCTCGAGAAGAACAATGAACAGCAAGATTACAGCATGAGAAGACATGGCTGCAACGAGAGAGTAATGATTGAAAAGTCTAGTGTTGGAAAAGATCTCAGAGTTTATGTCGACAAGGAGCTGAAATTTTCTAAGCATGTTGAAACGCAAGCTAACATATCCAACAAACTTTTTGGACTAATCAGACGCTCATACGAGTTCCTAGATGCAGAAGCGATGAAGCAGTTGTTTGTTGCTGTCGTGCGCCCGAATCTAGAGTTTGGAAACGTTGTGTGGTCACCGAGATTTGAAAAGGACAGAAATTTAATAGAGAATGTTCAAAGACGTGCAGCAAGGATAATTCTAGGCTTGAAGGGCAAGTCCTATGAAGAAAGATTAAAGATTATGAAGCTTCCAAGACTCAGTTATCGACGTCTGCGTGTGGACCTCATCGAAGTATACTCATGGTTTAAGATTTGAAATGCCTAGCACCATATCGAACCCGGTGGAAGTCGAGTAGCTATTTCAAACTATCGTCAGTCATGAAAAGATCCGGTCAAATGACACGATTTTAGATCTTCTAAGAACAAGGCACGAAAAAGAAAAGAATCGGCGACAGGCCACATCAGGCCTACACTTTAGCGGCGACATCACTATGTTATGTTATTACCTACACTATTGCTGCTAATAGTGCCTATTTCAATCGCCTTAACCACTATGTACTGGTAACAGTTGCTGTACCTGGAGTGGGCGAGTATCAGGAGTTGGTACAAGCGGCAACCAATTCACCTGGTACGCAGATACTTCGGTGACAAGATGGGCATGTACTTCGCGTGGCTGGGCTTCTACACGCAGATGCTCATACCGGCCTCCTGCATTGGCTGCGTCACCTTCGTCTGCGGCCTCTTCTTCATGAACTCGGACTACAATAAACCAAGGTCGGGATTCAATGTACACACAATAAACCCGAGTGTGGAAACAATGTGGGTTCAATGCGACCATGTATGCATATAATGCGGGCACAATAGATTCAAGGGAGGATACAATGTGGTCACGACGATTTCAGTTGTGAATGCATAAACCCAGATGTTTAATTTCTAATCACTACTGATCCATCAGCAAAGAGATTTGCGACGACGAACACGTACGCAACCTGACGATGTGTCCAATTTGCGACGAGGTCTGCGGCTTCTACCCCCTTCAGGACTCTTGCTTCACGTCCAAGTTCACCTTCCTCTTCGACAACCCCGTGACGGTGTTCTTCTCCATCGCCATGTCCTTCTGGGGTGAGTGCTCTTCCTCTTTTACAACATCGTGAAGGTTTTCTACTCTATCACCATGCCCTTGAGATGTAAGTTCTCTCCCTTTTTGACAACCCCTTGACGGTGTTCTCCATCGCCATGTCCTTCTGGGGTGAGTGCTCTTCCTCTTCGACAACTTCGTGACGGCGATCTTTTCCATCGCCATGTCCTCCTTGCTGATTGCTATACCTGCCATACTATGATCAAGCTACCGTAACTTTTTGAAGTAACTTTATGCATGTAGTGGGATTGAAGATAAAGAGCGCTTTTCTAATCAGAAATTTTAACCGCAACTATTAAATTCCGGTAACGGAGTTTAGTTGTGATCAGAAACAATATAATATACTTCAATTTTGAAAAATTTCTATAACTGAACACCTGGTTTCTATTTATGTCCTATTTGTAAGTGCACCGAAAAAGAGTGTAAGGTTAATTGTATACTGTATTTCTAAATTTTGTTAGTGCATTTAAAGTTAACTTCTTTGTGGGCACAGCGACGATGTTCCTGGAGCTGTGGAAGCGTCACCAGGCTGTGCTGCAGTGGCAATGGGACACTGGAAATTACGAGGAGGAGGAAGAAGTTCGTCCCGAGTTCCAGGCGCGCGTAAAAACGACGCGCGTCAACCCCATCACAAGGAAGACCGAGCCTTACATCCCCTTCTACAGCAGAGCGTCGCGATACGTCGCTGTCAACTCCATCGTCCTCTTCATGGTCAGTGATGTGGCGTTAAACTACGCGTCAATTATTATCAGCAATCTTCTACAAATGAATGGGTGATATTGTTGAAGTTGTGAAACATTCCCTACTCACAGCACGGGTTGAGAGCGTGAGTAGCACCGATAGGTCCTTTTTGCCGGGCCAGACTGAGTAACGATGACTCATGCAAGGGAAAAAACTGCATCGGTATTTGCACAAATTCTCACTCATTACTGTGAGTGTATCAAGTGACTATCATTGATGCAGGTATCGCTGATGGTGGCAGCCGTGCTGGCCGTGATGGTGTACCGCATGGCGATCTCCATCGTCTTCAGCAAGATGCCGCCATCGCTCCTGCAACGCAACGCCGAACTCTCGGCCGGCATCACGGCCGCCATGTTGAACCTGGCCGTCATCTACTTGTTCAACTTTGTGCGTGTTGTGCTGTTGAACTTATGTTGTGTGTTGTGTGGTGGTGATGTGTTTGTAGATATACAGGAAGGTGGTGATATGTGTGCAGATATACAGGGAAGGTGGTGATGTGTGTGCAGATATACAGGAAGGTGGTGATGTGTGTGCAGATATACAGGAAGGTGGTGATTGTTCTCACCAACATCGAGTGCCCCAGGACAGAGACAGAGTACGAAGATTCCTTCACACTCAAGATATTCGTGTTCCAGTTCATCAACTACTACTCATCACTCATCTACATCGCCTTCTTCAAGGTGACTCGCTCATAAATTTGTATGATGATTTTCTTTATGCTAAAAGGCATATTCGGACGACACAAATTTAATTATTATTCAAGTCATGCGTTGTAATGATGAAACTCGATGCATAACACTCGAATTTGGTTATTCGAATTTTGTATATTTAACTCGTGCGACGGGCGAATTAGGTCACTTGTTGCACTCACTGACCCCAGCAGGCATCTGACGTTGAAATAACGTTGAAATAGCTTGGATTTCTGGCTGAAATGTTGATCAACCGAGATCAAACGTTAAATCAACGCCGAGATGTGACCAACACTCGAAGTGTCGTGTAGATTACTAAAGTATCTTAGAAATTGTAATGTGAGTGCACAGCCTGAATATACTGTAAGTTACAAGCCATGCAAACCATTTTAACACGTCTGACGTCACATGCAAACCACTTTACCACGTCTGACGTCACATGTTAACCATTTTAACACGTCTGACCTCACATGTTAACCATTTTAACACGTGTGACGTGCCCCCAGGGGAGATTCTTCTACTACCCTGGTGACGCACGTGCGCGTGACACGCTGCTCAGTCGCATGCGCAACGACGTGTGCGACCCCACGGGCTGCCTGCCGGAGCTGTGCGTGCAGCTCGTGGTGATCATGATCGGCAAGCAGGTCCTCAACAACTTCGTCGAGATCGGGTGGCCGTGAGTCACAGAAGAGCCGTTAGTTACGAGCCATTGAATCGTCGTCTGCTTTATTGTATAGTGAATGTGATGAGACCACCATATATGTTATACCTGTCGCGGCATGCTCCCTATAAATAATTACGGTTATCAACGATTATTTACCATCCGCCATACGCCGACTTGACAGTGGGGAAGAAAGAAAAGAAGATACAAATTCACCATTTATTCTATCATGCCAGCGTAAAAAAACTGCACATACATGATTGCATCTAAATTATTGCATCAATTTTGTAATTCTAAGAGCATTTAAATGGGCATGGTTTGAACATAATATTCAGAATGTAACAAAGAAATAAAGAGAAATCGAGCACTGCTCTTCAATACGAAATGAGCTCAAAGGATGAGCATTTCACTATCTAATTTAATTCTAGGATTCACACATTGTGCTTTGAAATAAAAAATGAGGATGTTTGAATAAATTCCTGCACATTGGTTCCAAACATAAGCTATACATAGCTTTCTCAAATGCAAATATAAGCATATTACGGACAATGTCTAGTGTACGGAAAGGCGATGACATCCACAACTACCAGCGATTCAAACTGATTTAAGCATATATCTCAGAGCACAAGAAATCAGCTACATGTGATAGGCAACTACGCTGTTAATCTCGGTTATTACCAGCCTCTTTCTGACTTGAGCAAAAAGCTGGCCTCCAGTTAGGTAGTGTTAACACTATCACAACTCGCATGAAATTCCTCCCTAAAGGAACATTGGTTACTCCGTTTGCTTGACGGCTCAGTAAATGCACTAAAAAACAAAACAGACTATTACAGTGACATATTTACGATACCTGCGAAAATAATACATCATGTAAATTTAACGAATTACATTGCAACGCTAATAAATTAGAGCAGGCACAGTACGTTGAAACATTCTTTTTCAAGTCGGTTTTCTCCAGGCATACTTTCGCGGACTTTCCGTGGCATTCTCAAGAGCACCAATCACGCGACGTCAAGGCAGGCGTGCCTTGTTTGAATGCCAATGCGTGGTTTGCCTCCTTTGTCGGGCAAATAATGAGCTCACAGAAAGAAAATTTAATGACCGCTTCTCCGGCAAACTTCCATCATACATCACTCGTAAAAATGAAAAACACGAGCTCCCGTCTTTCATAGCACTAAAATGGGGAAAACAATACAGCGATTTGTATTACTTCAATCAGCCTTCTACTCTATCGACTGAATTAAGAACGGCAACCCTCACTCTGTGGCGGCATTCATTAAGAAGGCGAGCGTCCTTCGCTCCAAACAAAGAACCAACAATATTTGTAATTAATTGTTAATATGTTGTGCTACAGCATTGTGACATTCATGCATTCACTCGATACTAATCACTCTCCTAGTGACAAAATTCATGACATAATAATCAACAGACACAAGAACGTTCTAGAAAAAAGAAAACACGAGCACTTAAGGCTCTGATTGAGAACCGCGAGGCCTCGAACAGGCTCGCATCTTCCCTATGAGTTTCTACACAAATTAGGCTGGACTTACTCCACTCGCAAATGAGATGGCGAGTTATTTATAGTTATTATAGCTATTTATTTATAATCGGTGGACAGGAACAAAAAGTATGTAAACTTTGTATTAAAAGAGTTATGATGAAAGGAAATTATAAGAAACTTTTAATATTAATGTTCATCGAGTCTGCGACTTTTACACTTTTTTCAAGATGTCAACGGGTTGTAATTTTTATTTTCATTGAATGGTATACTCGAAATTTCTTGATCGGCCTCCTTGTTGTAGATATTTTCTACCAAAAAATAGTTATTATCGAGCATGCTGCTACGTGAAGGGAAAATCCTGCATACTAACTGCTCAAATGCAGGCGCTCTGGAAGGTATGATGGGAAAGTGACGTCGTTAATTACTGAGATGTCTGTTCACGACGGGCAGAACGGTGAAGGCGAACTCAATGAGAGGCGAGGAATAATAGGTGGCCAGTGGTCGACCTAGTCCAGTTAATTCTAACCGATCGCTGGCCATTCCTCGGCCACCTGGAAGCCGCCAATTGCCGCGAGAAAGGGGCTCGCTAGGATATCATATTACAAAGAGTACAAGCTCGAGGATAGCGACTGGCCGAGCTTCGGGCAGATCAAGGATTTCACACGATGGTCGCGCATAACTCGCTCTCAGACTTCGCTGCACTCTGACTACCAGCCTTAAAAGGATAACCGTGCGCGGCTGGCGCTAGGCAGCACTGAGCTCACGGTGACGTGCCTGATGGTTACGCTCTACAGCGTTTTCGTACTTCTAGCGATTTTACGTTTACACTTAGTATCCTTAGTATTTGTTTGGGACATAGCAGTCCCAGGCCACGATGGATCGCCGCCTCTGATTATCGTTCATCCGCCCTCATTCTGTCTCTTATACACATCTAGATGTGTATAAGAGACAGGTGTAGGTCTTGGCTGGGTTCCCCTCTCAATTGTTGTCTTGACCACCACTAGTCGATGGTCAGACAGTGTGGTCTCCTCAACACGAATATCAGCAACCTGTTCTTCATTGCTGGTGAAGAATAGATCCAAGATATTATGTTCTCTTGTTACACCAGAACCTGTTGGCTTAGCAAGTGCTCCCTAGCGAATCGAAGTAGTTGTGCTGCCTGGTTTCTGGTTTGATTTCTGCGCCGTTCTGCACAGTCCAAGTTTGGCCATCGTATGTGTGGTTGGTTAAAATCTCCCGCAACCACAATATTTGGGGAAGGTTCACCTAAGTTGGCAACCTCTGTTTCTATTATATCGAGAGTTTCATTGTTCAAGTGAACGTGAAAATACCACAGTATTCAGTGAATGTGATGTTACAATGCATTTTTCAGCGAATACTGAAGTGGAATCAAGGTACAAAGCACTTTTCAGTAACTGGATTTTTTTCTAAAATCCTACGTTTTGACATTACTGCAGAAAAAAGCCTGATATTTTGCGTATTTTTTGTAATTTTGATTTAGAAAAACTGACATATTGAACGTCCGTTGCATACATCACCCCATTGCGTACACGTGCCCGAAACGTGCAGCGTGGTGCGCGTGTGGTGGAACAAGAAGATGGGCCACCACAACGAGGCGAGCGAACTGTACACGCGTTGGGAGCAGGACTATGACCTGACACCCTTCACCCGCCTGTCGCTCTTTGATGAGTACCTCGAGATGGGTGAGTGGTGACTGGTGGGTGAGTGTCAGGGGGTGGATGAGAGGAGAGTGAGTGGTGAGTCGGTGGTGGGTGAGAGGTGATCCAGTACCTCCTGTGCAGTGATTCAGTCCCTCCTGTGCAGTGATCCAGTCCCTCCTGTACAGTGATCCAGTCCCTCCTGTGAAGTGATCCAGTCCCTCCTGTACAGTGATCCAGTCCCTCCTGTGCAGTGATCCAGTCCCTCCTGTGCAGTGATCCAGTCCCTCCTGTGCAGTGATCCAGTACGGGTTTGTGACGCTGTTCGTGGCAGCGTTCCCGCTAGCCCCGCTCTTCGCGCTGCTCAACAACGTCATCGAGATCCGCTTGGACGCGTACAAATACCTCACCAAGTGCCGCCGCCCCCGCCCCGAACGCGTCCAGGATATCGGCATCTGGTATAACATCCTGCGCGTCATCACCTACTGCGCCGTCCTCACAAACGTGAGTAATGACCTACTGCGCCGTCCTAACTAACGTGAATAATGACCTACTGCAGCGCCGTCCTAACTAACGTCAGTCATAACTTACTGCGCCGTCCTAACTAACGTGAGTAATGACCTACTGCGCCATCCTCACAAACGTGAGTCATCACCTACTGCGCCGTCCTCACAAGCGTGTGTAATAACATAACATAACATAGTGATGTCGGCTCTGAAGTGTAGGCCTGATGTGGCCTGTCGCCGATTCTTTTCCATTTTCCATTTTCCAATGACCTACTGTGCCGTCCTCACAAACGTGTGTCGTCGTCATGAAGATGAGTGGTCATTGGGGCAATGTTTCTCCATAAGTTAAGCTCATTATCGCCTGCTGCGCCATCTTCACCGCCACGTTCATCACAATAAACAGACATTATTTCATTCTATAAATGGTGAGTTATTTACTTACCTTGCATATTCGCCCCATTTGTATTATTTGTAATTAATTAATAATTCCATTTCCATGAGAAGGCCCTGGTCATCTCGTACACGAGCGACTTCATCCCCCGGCTTGTTTACATGTACGGCTACTCCAACACCACCTCCCTGCAGGGCTACATGGAGAACGCCTTGTCAGGTACAGCGTGCCGTGCAATAAGCTATCTATGTTATAAGTTTGATTACAAGCGCAATTTATAGTCTTTAATTCTTATTAGGGTGTGTCTCTTATTCATGAAAAATTTTACATGTCTCAGTAACGCCATTCTTAGAATAAATACACATTTGATATTAGATGCGGTGCAACGTTGCAGCGCACATGAGAGACAATACCTGTTACGCGTTTACGTATAATTCTCAAATTCAAACAGAACTACAATGTTGTCATTATTATGTCAATGTCAGGCTAACAAGCCTTTGCCTTTGATGTCTGTCGGATTCAGACATTTCCCAAACCTTTAGTCTTGTTCCAACCATTCTACAGCCTTAGCTTGGACTTAGAAGATATTCGACCAGCGAAAGTAACATTACTCATACAAATGAATGAAAGTGAAAGTCTTAACAACGAATTATCTCTGCTTGGCTGCAGGATACGTGGAAAATAATATAACGTCATCACGCTAAGCTTCACTGAAAGTGTATGGAGCGACTGACTTGGTTACTGCGCTGCAGCTTGCTTAGACGTTCAATTTTGTTGTTCAATCTTAACTCTGATCGCTTGATTAATTTTGCAATTGACTTGAATTGAATTTAGTTATTGATTATGATTATTAATAATGAACGATGCAGCTGCAATTACCTAGACTTGACTTCAATGGCAGCGCGTCGACGTTCTTATCTTGTGACGCATTAATGTGAGCTATTCAGCAGCACGACTCCCTCTGCTGCAGCATCCCTCTGAACAATATCAGTTGCTTAGAATTAATTCATTTATTCCTGAGCAACCACATCGGCTAGAGCAGGATAGAGTATATTAGGTTAGGTTAGGATGAATACACACATTTAACCTATAGATAGTTTCAGTTAGGATGAATAGCCTAAGTTAGGATGGATAGCCTGAGTTAAGATGAATAGCCTCCGTTATGTTAGGAGAATTCAGTTAAGATAAATATATTCATTTAACCTAAATCACTGTACAGAAAAAAAAATAAATCATATTCTCCAAATTATATTGTTCGCCCATTTGTTCGGCCAAACTGAGTCAGGATGACTAATGCAAGGAGGAAAAAAAAGTGCATCGATATTAAGACAAGTCTGACTTATTGCACTGAGTGTCCCCCGAACGTTGACGCAGTGTTCAACACGTCGGACTACTTAGAGCAACTGGGCCCTGACCCCTCCAAGTATCCCCGGGACACGTGGCCCCAGACCTGCCGCTACCGGGGACTCCGACATCCCCACGGTCACCCCCAGCAGTACGACTACAACCTGCAGTTCTGGCACGTCTTCACCGCGCGACTTGCCTTCATACTCATCTTTGAGGTGCGTGAGTAATGCGTCTTACTCATCTTTGAGGTGTGTGAGTCACCCATGCGTCTTACTCATCTTTGAGGTGCGTGAGTCACCCATGCGTCTTACTCATCTTTGAGGTGTGTGAGTCACCCATGCGTCTTACTCATCTTTGAGGTGCGTGAGTCACTCAGGCGTCTTACTCATCTTTGAAGTTCGCACGCCTGGGCATTGCTGAAGGCGGTTTATGCTTTTGTAGAAAAAGTGTTGACATTTTGTCTACTCGCGATGATTGCAGACCCACAAAGCAAGGGTGGCATTAATGACAGCTAATGTATCAGAGCACAAATGATACTATTTTGTTTACTGAGAGTAATTGCCGTTATCGGGAATTATGCATAAATATCATTGACGTATAATGCATCCGTAGACAAGAGGTCAATTCCGCAAGATGTATCGAAATTTCGGATTGGCTCTACTTAATAAAGTTATTATATTCATAACAAAAATGACTTATGGATCGGTTAATGAAGCCTATGAATCAACGAGTATTATTTGTTATTAGCTGAAAATATCTAAGAAAATTTTTCATGGCCGTGCAGCACGTGGTGTTCATCTTGACGAGTCTGGTCTCGTACCTCATCCCTGACGTGCCCGCGGAGGTCAAAGTGCAGATTGCCCGGGAGAAAAAGGTGAGTGTTGCGGGTGCCTGTGTTGTGGGTGCCTGTGTTGCGGGTGCCTGTGTTGCGGGTGCCTGTGTTGCGGGTGCCTGTGTTGCGGGCTAAACCATGCGAGTTAATGAAACTGATACGTGCCTGTCAACTTATGAGTTCCTCATCATTGAATACTTTTCGACAATACCCGTCCCTTTCTTGCCGAAGTTCGAGAATGAGGAAACAATTTCTTCAAAAAGAAATAAGACGCCACAAAAATTCACCATATTTTCATAAAAACATTTTGGAGTTTCCAAAACGCTCTCTTCCCACCAAGTTTAACATAATTTATGAACTGTCAGTGGAGCTGGACTCCGAGAAGTCTTTATGTTGATGCAGTAAATTTTGATGACATATTCTTTGCTTTCAAGTTTCTGGTTAATCGGCTATATGACCAGTCAAGTGAATATATTACTAATTACTTATCACTTCCACCTGCCCCATTGCCAGGTGGAGAAGGAGTCCCTTTTCGCAGCGGAGTTGCTAAAGCTTCGTCAGGAGCGGCAGGACCTTCAGCTCGAGGCGCCCCGCACCAGGAGTCCTTCCTTCAACGACGACCTCTCCTCCCTGAGGTCCTCTTCACGCCCCGCCACCGCCGCGCCCTCACCAAGGGCCTCACCCTCCCTCAGGCGCCCCTCTGTGTCACGTTATGCGCCTTACTGATGCTATGCACTGATACTTTACTGATGCTATGCACTGATACTTTACTGATGCCATTCACTGATACTTTACTGATGCCATACGCTGACGCATTACTGATGCCCAAAGAGCTTATTTTCAAGCATCACTTGCGACCAGAGTTCTTCAGTTTACTACCGCCTTCTTCGTAACTTTTGCTGCAGCAGAAGAGGCATGTTGCCTGATGCGGTAACCGGCCAAGCTAGATTACGTTAATAAATATGTGTAGTTATTTATATAGTTATTTAGAATAACGTTTTCAGTGTTGACCGTTGCTAGGGTGCCGTTGGTGTTGATCGTGTCAGCGCCAAGATGTATACTGAGAGATTCTCATGATTCTCGCGGTTCCTATTGTACATGTGCTGCCTTAGTGTTGTACAGCCTCTCCTTGCACTGTATATGTGCTGTGTCAAAGAGAAGTAGTCTGTTTATCGAATGTAGTCTCTGTTAGCGGCGTGTGGTTGGTCTCTGTTAGCAGCAGGTGGTTTCTGTTTTGATTGTTTTCAAATAATTAATTGATATACGTACAATTCAACCGGTTGTTGTTCATGCTTCTTCAACGTACTGCGATACAGCAAAGAAAACCAGGCATCAATGACGCTGTGACCCGCGTCATTGAACCGGCACTATCATCATTAGCATTTATTAATATTAACAGTTTGAATAATAATCTAAAGATTTCTTGACGGCTCCATCATCTGGCCGCCTTGGTGCGCTCCTTCCTTATTATCGTGACCAAGCCATCAAACCTGGGCTCCATGGGCCCAAGAGGTGCGCACAAGCATGGGATTTGTATGGCTTGCAGTTTGAATATTAAGTACAATACAAATCCAACGTACCTGCCATACAGTCATCATTTCATGTTACTACTATACTGATCGTACGTACCTGCCACAGTCATCATTTCATGTTACTACTATGCTGATCGTACGTACCTGCCACAGTCATCATTTCATGTTACTACTATACGTACGAATCGTACGTACCTGCCACAGTCCTCATTTCATGTTAATACTATACTAATCGTACGTACCTGCTACAGTCATCATTTCATCTGTTCCTTTTTCTGCTGGGAGTGGCCCGATCTTCTTATTTTGTGTATTTTTAGGTGGTAGATGCTGTTTCTGTCCACTTCGCTAGGACCTGAGACCTCGCGAACTCGCCAGATTTTGTAAGTGTATAGATGATGCAGCATTTGTGTTCTATTTTGATATTTCGTGTATATTTAGACGATGCACAACCTATCACGGTTTAATCTCGTATTACCGACGTAGCAACGGGCTGTGATCATAACCCTTCGTTTTCCTGTTACATAGTTTTGTTACAGTATAAATTAGGTACTAGCAAAATAATCAATTCAATTGACTGAATTTAAACAAATTTTATCTATACGAATTTCACACTTGTACTTCCACTCATCAGTGTCCGGATTCTCTTACATTTTATATTCATGTTTACATGCCAATAATAAAATAGGCACCTAACTGAATGAGGTAATATAATGAGGACAGTGCAATGAAAATCCCCGTAAAGTTAAAACCATCGTAAGAGTTAATGTTCAAATATTCACCCCCCACTACCCGATAGAGGCCAAACGTATGCGACACTTAATTATATCGCCCTGATCGCTAACAATAATGAAGCACGCAGGCAAATATTGATGAATGTCCTGTCATTCCGCTGGGAGGGTCAAACTTAGTTTTTATTGTTCGCGGCACGCTTGATGGTCGGCCCAAGTGGCGGAAGATTGAGACGGCAGTGGACAGGAGGACCAAAACAGCAGCTGTTCGGGCAAGTAGTGAATGGGAAAGGATGTTGGAGGAAGGGCCTGTATATTAGGATATGATCTGTTCAAAAATCCAAATAGATCCCCGACTCCAGTAGACTCTCGCGTGCGCGCTCCGGAATAGGGTTTGACATCAGAGGTAGAAGCAAGAAACCAGCATGAATCTCTGGAGGCAGCGTTACTTGTGATTGCCCAGCGTTACTGGGCTGTGATGAAGGTCAGAGTCTCAATGATGGAGAGGACAAGAACGTGATCAACGCTGTCGAACGCTTTGGACAGACTTGCAGCAGCCGTTGCGAGCAGGAGGCCGCTGGGAGTTGTAACCCAGGCCGGTCGAATCGTCCGTTTCAGATCTCAATGAGTGGAGGAGTAGGAGTAAGTGAATATCGACAGCTGGACTTAGGAGAAAAGTGGGAATAAATTACATGTTGACCTGGTGTAACATGTTCCGAAGAACTAATATTTTTTTATTGTGTGTGCCTTCCGTCACCCGTGCCGGTCGAAAATGCATCATGGAGCATATGATTTCCACTCTGTCACGCTTGCATGGACCTTATAACAAGACTTTGGCCAATGCATGCTCCTTATAACGGGCGAAAAAATAGTTTCTTTTCAATTCCAGGGGAATGTTTTTCCTATTTCAGCGGCAGCCCGAGTACATGGCCAATATCAGTGGCTTTACTATAATTTGGTTTGAAAGTGGAGCGTTTTATATGCGCGCATGATTCAGTGATATGCGCCTGACACAATAACGATGGCAGTAGCCAGTAGGACGAATGTAGAACTGATTATATCCGTAAGTGTAGACCGAAGAATGTTCACTTACTAGTCACGTTGCGTCGTGGTTATGAAACTCTTGATAAATGTGTTCTCTACCTACTCGTGTTACAAATGTTGTACCTATTGTTGGTTCTAAAATTTTTCTACGTATTCTATTGCTGCATATGCATTCCACAGCTGGTATTGTTCTAAGGGATGTTATCACCTTAATTAAAATTAAACTCGTAAAAGACATCAAATATATTTACAAAGTGTACCAGTAGTTTGGTATGGGACAACCTACGACAATCTTCCGATAGAGAAACGAGGATACCAGGGGAGCTGACTGGGCAGCGCATCAGCGAACAACTCTTCAACTACTGCAAAAATTGTAGTAACTACGATAGCTATTGATAATGTATCAGTGAGTAGCTTGGGGATACAACTCCTCGTGTGTTTACCAGCAGACCTCGATGGCTGATAGTCCACTGGGTCACTAGAACCTTGCCTCAGAGTTGACGAGTCACAAGGATAAGAACTCTTCCTGGACGGAAGCACAAACTTCATAAAACAAAGTTGGGCACTTTGATAAGTACCTATGCTGTAGCTTGTAAAAACACAGCGATGTAGCACTCGTGAATGGGAGTAAGACGGCCTGACGGTCGAAGGTGTTAGCCGTGCATCTGGTACCTCTGTTATGACAATGTTACCAACCGCTTCGTATTAAGACCTCATTGGAAAAGAGCTATGGTCGTTACTTATAACTCAGAATACTCGAGGGGGAGCCCCTATTTACGCATCCTGACAGGAGCTACAGGTGCTAAATCCACATGTTGCACCATGTGCACCAGAGCGCCTAAGGGTTGAAGATGTCGACAAAGGTGGGTGACGACTGAACATGACGATGGTGGATGATGAGTATAGGCATGTTCACAACTAGCCTGAACTTGGTAAACATAAACAAGATGGACTCGTTAGACCAGCTCCCAGCACATTCATATCTCCATTTATAGTACCATGATGAGCTGCTCGACATGTCACGCAAACATATTTAAAAAAAAAAAAAACGGTCAACGACACCTTAAGCCTTGCAACTGATTACAGGCGAGCTTTTGCGTTAGACCTGCCAAAGCGGAATCTGCATCCCTCTGCCCAAGGTTTTCAATATTAGTTTAAAATTCAATATATTCGCTTGGTAACAAGAAACAATTTTGGATTAAAAATAGGAATGAAGAAAATAAATCTTGTACAGAGATAACAACAGACATAATAATAATAATAACAATAATAATAATAAACGCGACAGTGGACAAAGAAATAGGATAGGAACACAGGTAGCGGTGAAGTTAATATCTCGGAGAAGAGATAAAGCGGAACCCTTATTGAAGTGGTCCAGCCTGGCGAGTCATCGTTACAAAGGTTTACTCTATCAACTCATCCGAATTGGTGTCATATATATGAAGTTTTCTCTTAAACTAAATTCGTACATATTCATATCTAAAAGTAAAACTCGCAATTCTGGCATACGCTGAAGCGACGTTGTCAAAAAAATCGATTTCTTAGTAGATGATTTAGGACGTAGATCAACAAATGGAATGAATATGCTTGCACTATCTTGCTAATTTGGACTTGAAAAATGTTGGCACATATTTCAGAGCGGAGACACGCATTACAATGATATATGACCACCAGCAAGCCTTCAACCTGGCAACCGCAGTGTGGTAAATTGGCTTCGGTTGTACAATGCAACTGAGTTAAGCGCTTTAAGCATTTCTAGGTTACTACGAGCTGAAACTTATCTAATTTCCGACTTGATGTAGCTAAACTTGTTGAAAAGTTTGTTCCTATTCTAGTTAGTTCGACAGCTGCTCTATTTTACCTAAAACGACAGCTGCTCAAACCTGACGAGCTTCTCTCTTGTGTCATTCCTGAGACAGCTGCTCCAAATGAGTTACCAAGTCAGCTACTCCAGGTTAACTACTAAACAAGCTAAGACAGAGGACTTAGGTTATATCTTAGTTCTATTCATATGACTACGTGAGGTAAGGAAGGCAGTGGCCCCGGTCGTCGCTGCAGCACAACACGATGCTTCGCTCCTAGACCATATGCTGATCTTTGATATACCGCGTCTTCCTTCAAATTAGTACAACGATGCTCAAACTTACTGACGTAGCTTACGAGACTTTATAGTACTACTCAAGATATCCACAACACCACACTATACAAGGACAACCCTCGCCATACGTTCTCACACCACAACCGTCACCACAGCACACGGCTGTGGTGAGTGCGGGTGATGACCTTCCTAACGCGAAAGTGCCCGATGAACCACATCAACGACTTATTTTAATTGACACACGTTAATTGCTACATCAACTTAATGAGATAGTCAGACATTCATCAACTCATCGCACATTCGGAACACAATCTCACACTGCATCCTGATGCAAATTTTAGCCGGCAGAATGATGCATCTGACAGACACACACCGATGAATGTGATTACAGTTTCCACAGACTCGCAAACAAAGTGTGATCAACGGTGTTTACTAAAATCCTTATTAACCCTCCACCGCATGACATGAGTAACCGGAGCAATATTGTCTCAAGCCTACTTCCTAAAAAGGATACGTTCTAGTGAGCGTAAAATGACTTGCACTGATGGTTGCCGCCACGTACAACTTTATAATGTTCTCTGTTGCGTACAAACGTCCTCGGGTTGCTACACTCAATAGTTTACACATAATTTACGTTAAAGTTATGTTCCCGGAGAGTGACATACGGCGGTAGAGGGCTAACTATGTTCTTGCTGAAATCACAAAAGGAGAAGATTAAGAAAAGTTAAGCAGGGTGAATAATGAATAATTATAAAACAGTGTGTCACTTGATGACGCTTTTAACTACACGGGCACAAACCTAAGTGAATATAAATGACCGAGTCGGGCGCTCCGGTAAGAGGCTGGAAAAAAATCATGAAAATAATCTAGCAATTTCCCAGCTGAGGTCGAGGCTATTAGCCACCTTCGGCGATCAAATTAGATAACAACAGGCAAGGATTTTTACAGCATCAGTGAACTCAAAAAGCAACTGCAAGTCTGCAATCAATATAATGAAGCCTAAAATTCAGGTTAATTTTGCAGCTATCGTACAAGAAGTCTACGCTGTATTAATGACAAGATTTTTACCCGAAACGACTAAGAAAGCCTCGTGCACTTGCGGCGTCTATGTTTGAAATTCTCAGGGATGTTGAGTAAGAAAGTTATACAAATCAATCAATAATAAATATGCTCGCGAAGTCATGCAGTGTCATCACTGACAACACTGTCAATGGCACTCAAGTCGTGAGTGTAGATACATATATAGCGAGCTGTCTTAAATGTGAGCAATGACTTTAAGAATACAACACATTTGTTCACTAAAGTAACGAACCAGGTAGAGTCGAGAGTTCGTATGTCCAACAGCCGATCACCAACATATTTCAAGCAAAACCCCCAATTACAGGCGTGAAATCAGGCACTACGTGTGCGTACGGCGTAGGCCACTACGTGTATTAAAGCGAGATTTGAATGTACGGCCATTCATGCACAAGGCGGCGGTGTCTGACATTCAATAAGCCCCTCGAGTCAACATCGAGAAACAATAATTTGCAGAAGGAACACGACGGCCGAACGTTCAGCATGGGTTAAATTTTTGTTGTGTGCTAACAGCAAACTGTTTTAAAACGAATAGTTAAACTAAAAGCGATTTTCAACATACAACGTTGACGCACACACAAGGCAAGCAATACGAGTATCACATTCATAAGAGCATCAGCCCTGCCATTAAAATTGCTGTCGAATGAAAAACCAGGCCATTGTTCTAGAATAAATAAGAGGACGTGGGTTATCGAATGCATATTTCTGCGAGATTCCAGATACAATGGATAGGCCTGACTGGGAGTGTAGCAGCGCATGGGCCAAGATATAAAATTAGCGTACAACGGAAGCTACACGAGCGAAAATGTTCTTCAAGAAAAAGCCAAGACCTAGAAGAAGCAAGAGATAACACAGCAGTGGTTAACGATTTGACATTCTATAGAATCCCGACCATTGAGAGAAAATTTATTTTTATACTTGGCGAAGAAGATGTAGCCAAGTCACTTGAGCATCAATATACTTGTGGAGGAATCCAATCAGAAAATCAATATCACTTAATTAACCCCAACCACCAACTTCCCCACCTAGCCTCATAATATATCGTCGTACTTCCTCCTCTGTTGTGCGCTACACCTCGTTTCTTGCTTCCGTCTCGTCTTTCCTTCTATCCCCTTCGCAGATACTCTTCCACTATATTTATTCATCTTTTTTCAACTTTTCCTGGACATCTATCTCCTTTCCATCACCACTCCATTTTCTACCTTCTCTCTCAATTCTTCCCTTACTTATCCATCTTCTTCTGCCCCCTCACACTCTCCTCTCCAGGCACGGGGAACCCTCAAGATCCCCAGGCCCCGCGATGCTGTTCCTGCCGCCATGTCCCCGTCGCTTGGGCCTGACGGAGCCTTCAGTGAAGCGCCTCCTGGTGGGGAGGCCCTGGACCCAATACTAGGCCAGGTCCCGGTGCTCTGGCAGCTCCTCCCTCTCAGTGGTGGGTCCGTAGAAGATCAGCTCAGGGATCTGGCCGCCCTGGACGCCGGTGCCGTTGGTGGACTCGGACGAGCAATGGAACATGAAGGACACGCACGGCAGGCTCACTTCGGATACGCCTTCCTGCCCGAAGTAGGACAGCTCCGTGCCGTCCAGGATCGCTGACGCCGTGTAGTACACGTCGCGCTCCACCTGCGTGCAGACGACGTGTTAGAGAGTGTGTTACATGGCGTGTTAGAGCGTTAGGGTGTGTGTTACATGACGTGTTAGAGAGTGTGTTACATGACGTGTTAGGGTGTGTGTTACATGACGTGTTAGGGTGTGTGTTACATGACGTGTTAGGGTGTGTGTTACATGACGTGTTAGGGTGTGTGTTACATGACGTGTTAGGGCAAGTATTACATGACGTGTTAGGGCAAGTATTACATGACGTGTTGAGGCATGCATATGGCGTGTTAGGCGGTGTATAATGCGTGTTAGAGTACGTATTACACGGCGAGATACTGAATGTAGTTTACGTGCACACAGCGTGTTGCCTTGTGCACGTGGGTTACAGCGGCTATCATCATGTGCACCGCTGGATTGGGATGGCTCAGTTGCCACATTTCCGACACATGTTGTATCAACAGCTGTGATCATCACCTAAAGCCCATTTACCTTCGTTACACATTAACAGCATGCAGCATATCTACACTGGTACCGAGCATACAGCACACAGAATCCGCCACTAATCTGACTGGTGCGAATCTTTACCCGCGTCATAAGAGGAATGTTTGGACGCACACTTTTCTACATTGTAGACTGTAAACCCAACCTGAGGTACGTACAAGGCCTATAATTAAATTGTTGTAGTTAACTGTCTATTCTTAATAATCATTATTTTAATCAAATAAAAAGCTACCAATTCTACATATCAGCGGCTAATATGCAGTAACTTGGTAAGTGTGCAGAACTTAAAGTTGTACAGAAGAAAAGAAACGTTTGTCTAAATATTGCTGTATGGGCAGATATTACAAAAAAACTTTTTTACATTGTGATAATGCATGTTGAAAATTTCCTAGTACTTGTATTCCGGCATACAAGGTGAAGGAAGCTTTAACCTCCATGAAGTCGGGCAGCGTCGCTAGGCGTCAGTAAGATTATTCTTGATACCGACCGACCACTGGTTACCAGATTTAAAGACTAAATCCGACGCTTAGGCAAGTAGCGTTGTATGTTAGTGACAAGATCAAATACAGTGAATTACTGTTATCATGCAATGAAGTATTGGTTTTCCATTATTCGCTATTTAATGGCGTCTTCCGTTTTTTAGGATCCAGCACGTTTTGACTCCCGTCTTTAGCTCTCCCTCTCACATTCCGTTTATTGTTTGTTCGACTACCATCTCGTTATCCTAAATTGATAGATATTCGCATTGTCAATTTACTGCCAATATGCGTTCAGGATTGAATAATTTTCTGCATCACCTTTAGTATTCCTTGCATAGCCAACTGGGTGCTCGAGCTATGCTACTAGTATCCGGTCCTATGTTAGGCATGACGAAGAGACCAGACCGTACTTTGTAGGTGATGGAACTTATAAAAAATTTAATTTCAGAGTTTAGTTCTTCACATAAACAGTGTAGGTACATAAATACGCAGCAGACAGGCAACACACCTGGACGGGGTGAGGGAAGTAGACAGGCAACACACCTGGACGGGGTGAGGGAAGTAGACAGGCAACACACCTGGACGGGGTGAGGGAAGTAGACAGGCAACACACCTGGACGGGGTGAGGGAAGTAGACAGGCAACACACCTGGACGGGGTGAGGGAAGTAGACAGGCAACACACCTGGACGGGGTGAGGGAAGTAGACAGGGAAGGTTGTGGACGAGCCGTCGCTGAAGAACTTGGTGCTGTGCGACGCGAGCACCTGGGAACAAGGAGATCAAATTTGAATTTAACGTAAACGCCTTCAATAACAACAAATACTCATGCTTTTGAAATCAAAGCAATATTTCGCTAAACATTTGAAGTAATCAGGACAACACTTGGCTAAATATTTACACTATTGCAACAGTTAACTCAAGGCTTGTCACATCTATCCGTTTTTGCTAAACTCACCACGCCATAGTTTTTGCTCACAACCCTTACTTCCTGATCACATCACCAGATCTTTTTAGCTTGAGCTCAAGAAATCTTGAACTCACCTTAAGAAAAAAAGCCAGATTGAGCTCACCTCGCCATACTTCTTGAGCTCACCTCGCCATACTTCTTGAGCTCACCTCGCCACACTTCTTGAGCTCACCTCGCCATACTTCTTGAGCTCACCTCGCCATACTTCTTGAGCTCACCTCGCCATACTTCTTGAGCTCACCTCGCCATACTTCTTGAGCTCTATCCTGACGGTGTAGTCGGCAGCCCCACTGGAGGAGCCGTACAGGCCGAAGCCCACCACGAAGATGCGGCGGTCGACCATGAAGTTGATGGAGTCAACGCGGCCGCGGTAGCGCCACTGGTTGCTGCGGTACGCACACGACTGGAACCTGTGAACACGGTCAGATACATCAATATTCCTCCATACCTGCAAACACGTTCAGGGTCTCGTTAACATTCCTCCATACCTGTAAAGACGTTCAGAGTCTCACTAACATTCCTCCACATCTGCAAACAGGATCACATACATTAACATTCCTCTATACCTGCAAAGATGTTCAGAGTCTCACCAACATTCCTCCATACCTGAAAAGACGTTCAGGGTCACATTAACATTCCTCCATACTTGCAAAGACGTCCAGGATCACAGTAAAACATTACTCCATATAATGCGGGACTTAATAAGGAGTCTGGATTTGCATCGTAGTGCTGCTTTGCTATGTTATATATTAGTAAAAACGCCTGTTGAGAGCAACAGTAATGGTAGCGGTATTCTTGGTGATAGCGGTGTTGGTTATTTATACTGATAAGATCAGTGTTGCTTTATCGATAGTTAGTGTATCGATGTGTGATGATGCATCAGTGGTTTTTGGGGAACCACTGATGTTTTGTTCACAGCAATTCAAACCTCGCACCATCATACAACAAACGCAGACAACCGGCCGTTTCTGTGATTGAACTAATTTAGTCATATACAATGAACACAATGCGTGTACAATTTCATATCTGTATTAATGATGCACAATGAATAAATGAATTATTAATGATGCACAATGAATAAATAAATGATGCAATGAAATGTTAGCATATAATAGCTAGAAATAAGAAATGTAATAAAACGCTAGACCAACCTGTGGCAAACTTGTTTGCGTAGTCCCGTCCTGTGTTTTGTTGGGTAAGAAACAGCTGGCTTATTAAAGGCAGTAAAGTAGAGGAAGAGGTCAGTAGTTTCCTGAAGGCTGAGGAGGCCGGACTGTGCCGCTCCGTTGGCGAATTCAGTAAGCTCCATGCACGGCAGCCGGATCAGGGACAAAGCTTCTCCCAGCACCTGTAAAATGCAAAATGATATTCATTCGTTCAATGAAAGAAATTCTAATGTTTGAACATAATAGTTCATAATAATTTTCTGGTAAATACAGGCAAAGAAATTCGAGACTTGAGATATTAAAATACTGGATTATCACTAACTATAACTCATTATATGGACCTTACTTTATCTTTATATTCTTACCTTGCGTTTGTTCACAGGTGTGCACTCGAGACCCTGTCTCTCACACTCAGCCTCGGCCCAGTTAAGTGCTGCTTCGAACAGCACGATCTCCCTGCAGTTAAGGGTCTCGCGAGACAGCACGGACAGCAGCGTGGGATAGTCGATGTCCACGAAGCCGTCCGACTGAAGGGCCATCTCAGCCTGCGCATCTATCACCTCCCAACAGCGCGTCATGAGCTCAGGCTCTTCAAACAGCCGAGACTGTGAGAGCAGCAGGCAAGCGTTGCGTGCTGTTAATGACACCTGCACAAGAGATGAGAGAAACAAGAAGAATTAGTTCAATGAGCTAAGAAATGCAATGAAAAATTAAGGAGTAACAAATAGGACAAACAAGGAAATCAATAAAAGAAACAAAAGAGTTGATTAAAAATGAACACAAACAAGCAGAGTAAGATAACTAGAAAATAAGAGCAAAAAAATATGAAACATAGAACATAGAGAAGTGAGAAATTTATGATAAAATACAAACCAAATTTCAATAATAGAAGAATGATAATCATGAATGGCAAACGGAAAAGCAGAAAGGTACTATTGGATAACAAGAAAAAGAAATATGTACATTGTATAATGAGATATAAAATATTACCGTAGTTGAGAAGTAAATGCAAGAATGGAATGACTTAGAGCAATAAGCACCTCAAGATACTTGACACACTGCGCTGCCAGGTGCGGCACCAGATACTTCTTGGCAGCGTAGAGTGTGGCAAGCACCGTGTCCGCCTCAACCACCACCTCATCACAGTACAGGTACCTGTGCAACATAGTAGTCATTAATGTGATGATTCCACGCATTCATTTACATTATTTGGGAATGATGTGTTTTCTCATATTCGGTTATTGAGTATTAACATTTTTTATCTGTACCACAAACTAGGTATATATATACATATTATAACTTGAAGGTTGATGTTGAAAATGTTTATTTCAGGATGAGACTATTTTTCTATCACTATACCTCCATATGAATAGATTTATCACACACCATTTTAAATTACATAAATTTGTATAAAAAAATTTATGACACACATATAATTATTTTTTGCAATGCAATACCTAGTCACTGAAATTTAATGCACAGAAAACAACCCCAAAATATACAAAAGATGACTTGAACCTACACAAAAATGACCACTTCCAATTTTGTGAATGTAGAACAGGACTTAGTTTTCAAATCCAAGTGTTCTAAGTCAATACAAACCTGAGTAGAGTAAGAAAAGCCTGAGGTTCAACATCAGGAACAATAACCTCCTCTTCAGTCTTGAGGCCTCCATAAAACATGGCATAGAACACAGAGCTACCCACAGCAAGCACATATCTGTGTGCTGGGAAGGTAGTTGGGTTAGGCTGTGGCCCTACTACAAAGTGCACATCTGCCATGAGCTCATTGTTGAGCATCGCTGCATTGCGTTCCCTCAAACTGCTGGCAAGGAAGTTGGGGTCTGAGGCAATAGTTGACATGCCTCCCATGCTCCTGTGTCCAGGGGATTTGGGTGATGGAGATGGGGGGGAATCTGAATAGCGATGACTTGGGGAAGTGGGTGCTGAAGATGGCTGAACAATTGTCATGGGTGCAGACTCTGCAGAAGGATCTGAGTCCTGACGCTGTATCTGCTGCAGAGCAAGCAGAGGTGGTAGCAGTGGAGCCATATTCAGTAAGCCTTCTCCTTCAGGACGGTTGCCAGAGTTCTTGGAGAGCAGAGAAGGCTTCTTCAAAACACTGCTACAATCTTCAAGCCCTGCATTGTTTGGCTCTGCTAAGTTTGCCCCTGCAATAAAAATTACTGGCATTAACAGAAGTTACACAAATTAATTTTTTAGTACTTTTCTAAGAATTCACTGCAAGGAACTTATTTATTATATTTTTCATTAACTACACAACAGAGGTAAAAGTTATGTGAAGGTCAAACAATTTTTAATGGTTGAAAATTCCATAAATATAGTGATTCTAGTTAAGAAAATGCTATAGGATAGTCATTGTTCAATAAAAAGGACAACTTGTATGAATAAGGCAATAATGCATCATATATCGGTACAATGAATTATATAGTATACCCATTACTATAAAATATTAACCATGTGCAGTACCTAATCAGGATGTGCTAAAAATTTATAATTAAACTCACTATCAGTGAGAAGAGACTTGTCTTTGACTGGAAGGCACTGGCGAGGAGGATCAGCAGCTTGCTGCTGGGACAGGCAAACATTCCCTTTCTCTTCACTGGACTTAGGAGACGAAGAGTTACTCCCTCCTCCACTATCCATACCAAACCACATGCAAGTCAAGAATCAGTGCCTGCAATAGTATACTAGTTCTCTGAAATAACTTGTTGCATAGGCATAAATGTTGATCAATAAAAAATAATAGAGAACACAAAATCCAGACATTTAGAAGAAAATCTACCTAAATTAATTAAAGATAATTGCTATTATACTCGAGTGAAAGCCCTGAAATATTATTAGTTAGACTTATAAATAAATGCCGGGAATATATACACCTGAGCAAGGATCACAGCTTTCCCTCCATTTTTGGAGCTGTGAGATTCCAGCTAGATGAATTGGCACCTATCTAATTGTTAACAAAAGATCAAAAGTACCATGATCTGCCTAATAATCAAATTAGGCAAAGTGACATAGGCCTAACTTCAATAAATTTTGAATCTAACAGCCTCAGCCTGCATAATGCATGATGATCAACTGTTCTTAACAATTAGATAGGAGGTAGGTAATTCATTTAGCAGAAATATTGCCACTCCAAAAATAGGAAAAATGGTCTACCGTAGTTGTGGCTCTACTGGCTCAGAAGCCAGAAGTTAGATCGTAGATATATTCCAATTTCACCTGTTTCCTCATCTAAACTTGTTTCCAAGTTTAGATTATTTAACTCTAGGGTAAATGTGCAGTTACATTTGCCTTATACTTATAGGCTTAGGGTAAATGCAGTATATTCCAACACTTTAGGGACATAGCAAAAAATAAATGGCTATAAAAAAATCATCATATGCGCAACTTGAGTTCTGTTTGCTTTATGTCACTCTCAAAACACCGCACTAGGCGCCAGCAACAATGAAATGTCACAAAATGTTGCCATATTTATTTAAAAGCCTTTAGAATGCAAGCCTACCAAATCCATGTATTCTGACACTGTGTGACTAAATTTGGCATTTTGTGAGACTAATTCCGGCCGCGCTTCAAACTCTACTAATTCCAACACTCTTGTGTTCAAATTCCGATCGCTGTGTGAGCTGTATTGGAATACAACACAGCTCGGAATTAGAACACTATTGAATATTGAACACTACTTATTTAGGCTTTTAATTAAGAGCTATTACGCTTTTAATTAGGAAAATTTTGGGGTTTTTGTTAGTTCGAACACAGTTCGTTCCAGCTTGGAACGAACTGTGTCTGTCTAATTCCAAGCTGTGTCTGAATTAGTTTTTATGTGTCTAAAACCATCTCTTAACTTGATCATCTATTAATTATTTTACCACTTGAAAGTTGAAATCAGCAAATACAAGTATACTTAAAGCCTAAATTATTTCTAATATATTCACAGACTTATTTAAAAGTCTCAAACCATAATACTCTTTCTACACAAACAGTTTATCACTATTTGGTAGAGCAAGGTCAAGTCTGGTCAACTATCAACTTTGACACATTTTTTGATGTTTCATGTTCTCACTGGGTGACACGCACCGTCTCTCTTTGGATCTCAACATTTTCCCGCCAGATAGCCCAGACCTAGTTTTTTGGCAATAGTATGGTCACTATGGTGCACAATAGTATGACATCACTATTTCAACCATCAATGAATGAGTGGAAATTGTGAAACTAAGAAAAAGCTTAATATAAAGGAAAAAAGTTGAGAAGTGTCAGAATTACCCACGATGTTGGAATATAACGCATTTACCCCTATTCCCATAATAAATAGAGAAAAATTGGCAAAATTCAATTAGGAAAAGTCCTATAAAGGCACTACCTTATCTACATATACTGGTAGACGGTAGTATAATATAATTACCATAAAATGGGGTCACTTTGACCGGTAGGGTAACTTTGACCACTTTTGGTTTTTTTAACAAAAACCCCCAAAGCTCAAAAACGATTTGACAAAGAAAAATTTTGTCAATGGCCATCAAAGGCCTAATACTGAGGCTAAGTAATACAACAGAAAGATTTACAAATTTTGCATATCTAATAGGTTAAAAAATTAATAATGTGACCCACAAAAAATTTCTGTGATGGTTCTTGCCTGCCCAACCTGGAGTCAAGTGCTTGTGGCATATACATTCCATCGCAGGATAAAGCCATTTCTTGGCGCCTGCACCCAAAGAGCAGTGTGCTGACTGCTGAGCTCTTTGCCATCTACCACTCGTTGGTTGTTGTTGAGGGTGCTTCACACCCTGACGGTTGTCTGCTCTGACTCCCGTTCAGCTCTACTTCTCCTGCAGTCACCTAGGAGCCTCCACACCAGGTGCTCACTTGTTATCTACCGCATCAGGGAGATGCTCATGAGGCTCAATGCTGACAGACGAGTGGTGCTACAGTGGGTGAAAGCCCATGCTGGGATTCGTGGAAATGAGTTGGCAGATCAAGCAGCCAAGTTGGGACATAAGCTCAACCACAGCTCATTCCACCCAGTAGAGTTTGCAGACTGTAAATTTTGGCTCAGTAGACAGTTACTTGCTTGTTGGCAGGAAAATTGGCACCAAACTGTTGCAGTTTCTGGAAAGGGACAACACCTGCTGACCATACGATGATACGAGAAGATCTACTTCCTGTTCCATGGACACATGCAAGATCTTGGCGTGTCACAGTTGTGCTGGCTCGCCTTCGGCCACACTCAGGATGATGTATGTTTTCGGTGAATTTTCCCGCGCATTTTCACTTTTTTTAATCTATTGCTGTGCACAGTTGGCGCAATGTAATGAAAATTGATTATCTTCGCGCACGTGTTTGCGCAATCTCGGCCATCTTTATTTTAGAAGAAATTTTCTCCAAAGTCATATGGCAACACTGAACACCGTCTGTTTACATTTCGTATGTATAACAGACAGCCGCAGTTTATGATTACCGTACGTTCCGTATCCGACAAGGCGGACAACCGGAAGAGTCAGAAGTAACCCGGACATGTCTTACATTTTATTGTCAGTTCGACTCACGTAGTCAATATACTCGTGTACCACTATGCAGAGGGTGGATGCAGCGTCGCCAATATATGGATTTTTAAGCCCAAAGCGTCGCCGGCCATTTTAAAGATGCATCGCTGGGTAATTTTTAATGAAAAGCCATTTATGCTGAGTAATGATGAACTATTTACAAGCCACGAACTTATTACAAGGTTGCATGCACGTGTTACCCCAAATAACTAATTTTACCCTAAAAACAGTCCGATTGTACAGCAAGTGTCAACTGAACAAGTAATAAAGCAGTCTGACCGCTCTAATGCGACCGAAACTACGCAATCAAAAAAACGTTTACATTTTTTGCGGGAACTCATCGCAACTGATTTCTGGACAAGCTTCGCTGCATTGTAATCCATCCAACGTACCGGAAACCTTACTTTTTTTCTAAATAGTTGGCTGAAGACTGAGAAATATATTAAATGCAAGAATTTCAATCTAAAAATCATCTATTAATTATTTTACCACTTGAAAGTTGAAATCAGCAAATACAAGTATACTTAAAGCCTAAATTATTTCTAATATATTCACAGACTTATTTAAAAGTCTCAAACCATAATACTCTTTCTACACAAACAGTTTATCACTATTTGGTAGAGCAAGGTCAAGTCTGGTCAACTATCAACTTTGACACATTTTTTGATGTTTCATGTTCTCACTGGGTGACACGCACCGTCTCTCTTTGGATCTCAGCATTTTCCCGCCAGATGGCCCAGACCTAGTTTTTTGGCAATAGTATGGTCACTATGGTGCACAATAGTATGACATCACTATTTCAACCATCAATGAATGAGTGGAAATTGTGAAACTAAGAAAAAGCTTAATATAAAGGAAAAAAGTTGAGAAGTGTCAGAATTACCCACGATGTTGGAATATAACGCATTTACCCCTATTCCCATAGTAAATAGAGAAAAATTGGCAAAATTCAATTAGGAAAAGTCCTATAAAGGCACTACCTAATCTACATATACTGGTAGTATAATATAATTACCGTAAAATGGGGTTACTTTGACCGGTAGGGTAACTTTGACCACTTTTGTTTTTTTTTAACAAAAACCCCCAAAGCTCAAAAACGATTTGACATAGAAAAATTTTGTCAATGGCTATCAAAGGCCTAATACTGAGGCTAAGTAATACAACAGAAAGATTTACAAATTTTGCATATCTAATAGGTTAAAAAATTAATAATGTGACCCACAAAAATGAGCTATTATTTAAAGCCTGTCAGAGTACCCCCTCCAATTTTTTTATATGTTGGTAAAATAACTCCAAGTTTTGATGCATTGTAGTAGAACTCTTCTAGTTACATATGCAAAAGACAAATTTTAGGAAAGTGTCATAGTTTGCCAATGGGGGGCGCCACCCCCCAATGGGGTAACTTTGACAACCTAATGGCAGCCGTGACGGGGTAACATTGACCGGCTTGGAAATTGAGTTAAAATTACCACAGGTACCTATATAACATATTTTATTTTTGATACACCTATTAATGTTTTTTTCTTTATGTTTCAGACTCTACAGTCTTATATATGGTAATTTTAACTTAATTTCCAAACCGGTCAATGTTACCCCGTCACGGCTGCCATTAGGTGGTCACATTTTGCCCATTGGGGGGCGGCGCCTCCCATTTGCAAACTAAGACACTTTCCTAAAATTTGTCTTTTGCATATGTAACTAGAAGAGTTCTACTACAATGCACCACAACCTGGAGTTATTTTACCAAAAAATAAATTGATGTTACCACCCGGTCAAAGAAACCCCAGGAGCTGGGGTAACAAAGACCATCACTTTTTTTGAAATTACATCAAAACTATGAGAGGCAGGAGCCAGCAATTTATGGTAAGTAAAGCTAGAGTATAGACCTGTATTTTGCATGTTTCAATTTAAGTTTAACTTATCTAGTAAAAAAATTGCATCATTTTGAAAAAAAGTGGTCAAAGTTACCCCATTTTACGGTACACTCTAAAAATTCTATGCATAATCATGAATTTGAATTGTGATCTGAATCATGAATGTCAAAAACAACTGTTGAGTGCTGACTTATGACTTTTAGGGTCAGCAGTCAGCATAGTGGCAAACCAGAGCTTTTTTGGAATCAGTTCATTTTTAATTTCCTCAAAAACTCAAGATTTAAACCAATTTCTCAAGTATGATAATGCTGGTATCAGTGGTAGGTATGTCGCTGGCTGGTTACCGATGGAT